TTCATATCACATACATCATACAAGTGATTTAACAACAAAATCTCTCGTGATTTCTTATGTTCAACTCGAGAAATGTGTTTACATAATGGCCCATCCAATCTGGTTAGTTATCTCTCATGCCAAGACAGTTGTTCTGTATGCACTTCCGGTAATACATGGTGAAATGATCACTTTGTAAATTAGGTCAGAACTGTAAGATATGTACAGAACAGATTGTCATGAACAATCCAGTGTTTGTGAATACACAGTTGTGTAGGCTGTAGACATCCAGACAGCAGGGATCAACGAACTTCCAATATTATCTAGCATACCTTAAAAATAATATCTTCAGTGAAGATAGAATCAATCTTTGTTGAAGATAAATTCATCAGAATAGAATAGTCAAGAAGCTGTACAGTATCCGTAGCTATATTGAAGCACTAAAATGTAAACTCATGCAAAGTTAGTGGAAAGGGCTATTAACTTCCAGTCGATAACCTCAACAAAGAGAAATGAGCTGCCTTTAGGAAATTCAAGAATACGCAGCTAAAGAGGTGAATGATAATAATAATAATAATAATAATAATAATAATAATAATAATAATAATACCAGCTTTATCACAAACAATATGTATGACAGTATGAAATTCTCAGGAGGTAATTTTTCAACAAGTTCACTCCCAGAACAATACTTTCAGACGAAACGGTTATTACATCGGAATAATCTTAATAATAACAGTATTCTGGGCATTATGTAAAATAACCAGCTGGTTCTGGATGGGCATCCGGACCATAATGAAGAATCAACAGAAATGCAAGCGTAATTTTGGTGGCCACGGTTCATTTAAACGGTACAAAAATCTGCAACTCAAGCCAAGCATCTGACGCATAGAAATATGTATTTTTTTGCACCGAAAAGTCCAATTCCATACAACTCAAGATTTTTTCTCAGCTTTGTTATTGACTCGAGAAAGGGAGAGTTGGAAGCGGTTAAAGAATGTGCAAGAGTACACGATACGTTCAAAGGATATATTTAAATGATTAAAACAAATTGAAGGGAAGTAATTTGATGAAAATTGTTCGATGGATTAATTTGGTAGCACAAAGTTCAAGTATGCCACCGTGTTAAAAATAGCGAAAACAAGATGAGAGTTGAGACACTAATGTCTACAGGAACCTTTACACTGGAATTGTTAATTAAACTTCAAATCGCCTCACCCTATGTCAGTTTAGAAACACTCCTACTTATGACTTATCTAAATATTTATCGATACTACTAGATCCAATTAGAAACCGTTCTAAATCGAGACTTATTAACTCTTATGACTTGAAGCATAGATTCGATAACAATGAAAAAATGGTTAGTTGTGATATACTTAGTTTGGCGTAGCACTGAAAGAAGGTAGAAAGGAGTTCAATAATGACTATGAGCTTACACTACAGACTAAGGTACCAGTAATGATATTATGTTAGGACTACAGCTGTGCCTAAATTACACAATATTTACGTTTCTGAATAAAATATATAAGCAAACAGAATGAGTTGCCATGGAGTCACCAATACCCCCTATTGTGGCTGACACATTTATTAATAGTTAGGAACGGATAGTTGTGAAAACAGTTAGTCCGGCTCCAAAAGTATAGTTTCAATATGTAGACGACACGTTTACAGTGTTGAAATTGGAACACATACATAGTTTCTTTACACATAAATTCAGTAGTCAACGCAATCTAATGCACCTATGAATTGGAAAATAGTGAAGGGGAATTAGCGATGTTAAATTGCGAAAATAGCGAAAAAATGAGAATTGAGACACTAGTGTATACAGAAACCTTCACACTGGAATTGTTACTTAAACTTCCAATCGTCTCACCCTATGTCGGTTCAAAAAAGGGGCTGGTAAAATGTCTAAGTAACAGGGACGGAAAACTGGCAAAACAGAAGATCTGAGACAAGAAACCAGATACATTGAAAGCACCTTACTCATCAACAATCACCGTCCTAAATTAATTGATAAGTTCTTTGGGAATCATAAGAAAAATATAACGAATATTAGTAACGCAGGCGAAAAGCAACAAGTTGGCAGAAGTGGCAGCGAAGGAAGACGGGACTTCAAGTGAACGTAGAGAAGACAGAGGTGATACCCAAACAACAACAAGTACCAATCATCATCAACGGGAGAAATCTAAAGGAAGTGATCTCTTGCACCTACCTAGGCAGGATCCACTCAACTACAGGTGGTGGCAAAGATGAGGACCTCAAGGCCACCATCGGAAAAACAGTAAGACAGGCCTTCACTAACCCGCAGTCAGCGTGGAGATCTACTTCAATCAGCATAAAAAACAAGATGTGGATTTTCAACACTAATGTCAAGTAAGTGCTTCTGTATGGTCCAGAAACTTGTCGCATCACGAAAAGCATTTCCAACGAACTGCACAAATACATGAGCAGCTGACGCCTACGATCACTCCATACTTAGGATGGAGGTCAGACGGCCAAGAAGAATAAGCAACAAGGAACTCTGGCCTGGCAGCGAACCAACTAAGAACCCATCGCCCAACAAATATGCAGAAGAAAGTGGAGATGAATTGGGCACGCACTGAAACCGCTTGGGGACATCACGCGCCAGGTCAGGCCCTCGAGTGGAACCCGCATGGGAAACGACCAGTTGGGAGTCCGAGGGTGACATGGAGTGAAGAAGAAATGAAAGCTTCTTGGTATTCGTGGAGCCAGGTACAAAGGACTGCAGAGAAGAGAATGAAATGGCGATGTGCTAGTGAAGCCCTATGCTCCACTAGGAACCCAAGGGACAAATAATAATAGATGTTAACACTAGTAATAATAGTAAAAAGTGTTTATTTTGTAATTTGTTCTAATATACTACGCCTGGACTACACAAGTAAAAATACACCTGGTGCGATGATTCTGCAAACTCACTTAGAAATAAGCTTTGTAGGTTAAAAGAGCCTATCGATCCAACTAAGCAAAATTATTTAGATTACGACGTCAGATACATGGGTTAGAGTAGTCGGCCAGGGTCAGTTAGGCTATGCGAGAGAAAAACCCTCCCTAACTAGGTCAAAATTGGTAGGTCCTAATAAGATAAGGAATCTAGGGAAAAGCTCAGCCATAGCTATGCATGGAATTACATACAACAGAATGGGATAGGGTGAAAATCCTTACACGTAACCTAGTAGGGTACATAGAGATTGATAGCTGAATCTTTGTTTATCGAGTCAACACCAAATACATTAAGCAATAGGAATGACTCAACACCTGTTCCGGATATAAAGAAGATCCCATTGCCCATATCACCAAGGGTAAGAGAAAATTAGGACTATATAAAGGATACTTCAAAGTTGTGGAGTTATCTTTATATAACTAAGAACAATAAATTATGTCTGAAATGTAGTCCACTGTGTTATAAATCTAACAAATCAACTTTAGTGAAATCAATCTTGATAACCTAAAGTGAAGTTTGCGGGTAATTTGACTGGCTATTCAACTTTCACACAACTCCGCCTGCCAATGCCTAAGCAACCAAGCAGTACCGTTAGTTCGCAGGAAGGAATCACAACTCATGAAATGATGTAAAAACCAGATGGGGAAGTTACCTGATATCCCACCATGGTGAACATTACTTATAAGGATACATAACAGTAGTGTGTAGCGCAACATCAAAAACACAATTGATAACGATTGACTGGACATTGTAGAGGGAAAAGAATAGAGAATATCTAGTCAGAATATAGAGCGCAAGTACGTGGACGGACACACCCTAAGTAGCTGGTCAGATCCGGGTGATCTGAACAATTCGGCTCTATGAGCTGATAGGTCGCTGACGAGCTCGACCCCAAGCAACAAAAAACGGTTATTCAGTGGTTAGATCACTCTGTTCCGGTTGGCGAAATTTACAGACCAGCCCAAGTAACTTCTAACTAATCAAGTTGCCTATTAGTAAACATACTTTGTTAGTTAAATGACACGTTCACTACTACTGAGTTTTATAATATACAGGATACATCACAGAGTCGGTCTGCCTACCGGCACAACCATGACACTGAAAGCTTCATTCTTGCAGTGAATGGATAAGTGAGCTAAGAATGAACCAGCCGATTTCGGTTCGGTTCCAAGTATTATGTTCAAACTAGTGAGTTAAATGGTAACTATTCTCTTTGGTTTACATGCGAATCTTTAAACTAACTAACTTCATCGATTGTACAAACATGAAAATAATCCTTTCCGAGTCATATCAACAAATAATGAACAATTTATTTACCACATACTCTCAAAACCTAACAAGTAAGTGCAACGATGAATACTAACTTGAAATATTTCTAAAACCCCACAACCTCCTCGAAATTCAATTCAACTGGTGCTCATTGGTGACTAGCTTCAAGAGGTGATTTCCGAAGTTCCGATGAGAAGTTGTGATCAATGGGGCTAGCCTGATGGTCGTGAGGACAGTTACTCAACGATAACATTGGGTGGCAGTTGCACTATGTCGTGAACTGACAGAAGTTGGAAATATGGACCATTAGATTCCGACTCAGTGGCCCAATAGTAACGTGCTGGCCACGGAAACTGAAGGTCCCGGGTTCGGTCTCTGGCGGGTCGTGGTTGCGTACTGTTGAGGACGAGACAGCTGTCCAGTACTCTCAGGTTTCCATTGTTCCTCCAACTGATGTCAGTCTAGGATGAATAAAAACTTGAAATATTTCTAAATCCCCACAACCTCCTCAAAATTAAATGCGGAAAGGTTAAACAAAACTCGTATCGAACAAAATTTTATTTTAAAAATGCGTGTTAATGAAAAATATATAAAACAAAATATTGAACAATGGAACGTGAAATCCAAAAACCAATAATAACAAGGTTCAAATTTTAGCTTTACAATTTATAAAGGCAGTAAAGTAATAAATCTGATTCTGTTTCATACAAGTTTAGAGTAAGAAGATAAAACCTGAGTAGAAGAGAAACAAGAAAGGGAAATGCACCATTGACCAAGTTTGTTTGAAGGATTACCAGTTGGGATCACCGAAACGTTGAATCACTTTATAAGCTTCTTCTACATCTTTGCATGATTTCATTCTCATGTAGAAGATTGGACAATCAAGACTGAAATAATAAAAAAATGGTTAACATGAAAATGAAACTATTAGGGAGGTTCGATCACCAAAGAACTAACTTTTGCATATATTTTCATTGTAAAATTTATCCTTACTTTTGTTCCACGCAATGTTTCTTTTCATATAACTAAAGATTCCCATAATATTTATGAAAAATAAACAATCTCTTCAGGTTCTACAATTATAAAATACATTTGTACAACATAACATAGCAAGCCATGTTAGGGGGCAGGTACATTTTCAAAGTGAAATGAGATCTAGGGATTGTAAGGAGATCGATTTATCTACCTACCTAATCTATCTTACCTCTTCATTTTGCATACATCAATTTAACTGTTCATGTGGAACTAGTTACATAGGCCGTACAATTAGGCAGATGCATCTCCGGATACGACAGCATTTACCAGCTTGGTTTGGAAAGGGCGAAGTGAAAGTGGTTAAAAGTTCAGCGGATCTAGCCGACACAGGGCATCACATAGATGTTAATAAAACTTTTAATATCATTCATCGTGTTGTAAAAATAACACCACGTGTAGCCCACCAACGCTTGCTCAACATAGCGAAGGCTGCCACGCAATAAGATTGATCAAGCCTGAACTCTGGATTCAGAAAGAACATGTCCAAGCGTTACTTCTCCATCGACCTTCAGCTAACTAAAGGTCATTCTTTTCATTTTATTCGTTGTCTTTTTGTTTCACCATCAATGTCATTCTTCTGTATATGTATCATCTCAATATTGACTAATTAAAAAAGATAAATCGATTTCCTTACAATCCCTACATCTCACTTCACTTTGAAAATGTACCTGCCCCCTAACATGGCTTGCTATGTTATGTTGTACAAATGTATTTTATAATTGTAGAACCTGAAGAGAATTTATTGAAAAGAATATTCTTCATTCAAATTGTTGCTTTTTATCGCCGCTTAAGATACTAACTAGTGATTGGTTAATTTTACACTTTTATTACGCTATTTCATTTTCCCCGATCAAGGGTCCTTTAAAACGTAAATATAAACGAATGAAATTGCAGCTGTAACTGCATTGTTCGGTTGAAGTAAGTCTAGTTGTAAACCATTTGTCGTCTTCTACTGGTGTCAGCTAAACATATTGTGTTGAGAAATCATTGTTCTATCGTTAATCGTATCGCTTCGGAGCATAATATCGTTCATATAAATACAGAAATTAACACTGGAAATAAATGTTGTTCATATAACGTTACCAAGAGAAATATGCACTTCATAAACTAGTTATTCCCTCTAGGCAAATGATGGAAGATAAAAAAGAAAGCAAATTAAAAAAAAAGTCAGGCGTAGAGTTTTAAGGAGGAAAGGAAAGTCAGTTGATGCGGTTGTGGACCTTCACCGATTCAGGTGCCTGGAACAAGTGTCAGATGCATTTCGTTACCATCTATCTCGTCACAAAATGTTAACTGAAGTAGGTCAAGACTGAAAAAAGTTAGAGGTGGCCAGGTTAAATCATGGTATCAGTCCATGAAGTCTTTGACGGTTGGTCCGAGGTATGTCGGGGAAAGTAGACTTCCTGGTAGAGAGCTACATGATAGTCGAAATTAATGGATGGAAAGTGCAGGTGATATGGCTATCAGCGCTGTAAATGTATTCGCACAGTATCTTCATCTGAATTGTCATAGCAAGTTTCGTCATTATCTTACACCTTCTTTCTTGCTGTTGGCGTTTCACCCCTTTTGCCATATTTCTCCATCTTTCATCTATATCCCCCCTACCCTGGTGTGCTGAAACGAGATAATGGCAAATTGGACAATTATGGGGGTGATTACAGGTCCCTTGTTGATTTTGACTGGCTGAAATATTATTAAAGACTAACCGCTGTTATCTGGTAGGCCAAAGGGACCAGCAATTTATCTAACCTCACCCTAAAAGATTAAACTATATACACACATGAAGATGAGATATATATTGTTACTTAAAAGTTTCAAATCATGACATGAACATTTAACAAGGACTCATTTTAAAGAAACCAGTAGATCTATTCTTTGATGTTGTAGTTTGTGTATCTCCAATGTTGATTGGACCGAAATGATCGGCCACTATTGGGATATGAACTCCTGTGCGGATGATGCCTCGATATTGACAGTATTTTCAATTCTTGATATTACTGATGAATAGTGGCTAGCAGTGGGATCCAGAACATGGGTTCTGGGTTTCGTTCTAGTTGAAACTTGTCAGCTGGACGTATCTACGCCCCAGTGTGTGAATGTTGTTGTGCTTGCTAAAACTTTAACCCATGACTGATAGGCATCGTCACTCAATGGAGTTTGAAGTGACGTGTAAATTCAACGCTCGGTCAGATATTTACAACAAGAGATATAGCTCACATGAGAAAATTATCTACACAGTGACGAAAACTTCGATACGTCAATGAGAGAGAGAGGAGGTTTGTTTGAAGCTGTGCTGTTGGTAGCATCAATGAACTAATCAGTAAACTCTGTGCTAATAAAGAGTACATTGAGTCAACATGAACCATGACAACAACAATAACAAAACATTTTTGTAACACGAAACTACCTGGTGCATATAACTTCTTCGTGTATACTTTGTTGGCATCGTTGACATTCAGTCCATAATGATGCGAATTTCTGTTCTAATGAATTCAATTGAACAATTTCTTTTTGATAAATTTCTGATGCACGTGGTTCACAGAATTTACATAAAGCAGCGTCTAGATTTTTAGGAAAGAAAAAACAACAGACAACATAAACGCATACACGTAAAAATCGACTACAGTTTCACAGATATATCCACTCTTAAGCAATTGCACAACTTTGAACTCATTTAACAACCTCCATTTATCTTATGCCGAAGCTCTGTTCTACTTAAGTTTCACACTTGTTGGCACTCATCTGCAATGGTGTTTCTGAAACTGGCTCTTCGGTGGTCCGAACATACGTCACCCTACTTTACCTACTGAGGTTTTGGTAGTCAGGTAGTATCTTATTGGCCCACACACAATAGATGTTGCTCATTGCCTACTGCATAGGGCTGGTAGTGGATTTCAGTTCGAACCAACGATCCATCGTAGGACTAAGGTGCACTGCTGTGTTTCTTCCCTTGGTTTAGTGGCCCCACATTGTAAACCATGATCGCGAAAACTAAAACCAGTGCTAAGCACTAAGAGCCAGACAGCTACATGTGTTACCCACTGGTGACAATGTGAGCTGACGTGTTTCTGTGCAAAGTTCTAACTTGATTTATCTGCCCGCCTGAAGTAACAGTTCATACGACACTGAAGCAGAGTGAACATCAAACAGATTGAGTCATAACGTGTATAAAAGCTATTCTTGGTTGTACACATTCACTATGTGTGTATGTGTGAGTGAAGTTGAGTGATACCGTGCCATTACAAAAAAATTGATGAATCTATAAAAGTTATTGTTGATTTCTAAAATCATGATAAGAATTCAGCGAGGGATGCAAATGTACTGATACGATTCCTCTTTGAAATATACTTGTTGAATATGCCATATGTCAAACCTTATTACCAATGGGCCTATTTCATCTACTCATTCGCTCTTATTCAGCTTTGCTTCTTTTATTGAATATATATATAATCACTTGTTATGACTGTTTTTCGCTCGTTACATCTGACCTTGAAGGGTGAAGAGATTTTAGTCACCTTAAACAAATCATTTGTTACAAGAAAATAATTTGTATATTTAGCTGCATATTTCTTAAATTCATTGATTTGCTTTGGTTAATCAGTTCACCAACCCTTGAAGTTCTTTGTTTTCGACCTACTGTTTTGAATGCGAAGAATCCCCCAGCTTCGCAAAGAAACAGGCATAAATGAAAGCGGCTTTTTGAAATTAGTTTAGTTACATTTCTAAGCAGAAATAAATCGAATCACATTAACTTCAGTATTCGAGATTTGTATGTTGCCTTTTCTCGGCCTAAATATCTCCAACTATATTCTGTAGAGTATTTTAGGCAGACTTAATAATCTAAAAGTAGATAAAAGCAAAAAAGCATATGCTTCAGAAAGTTTGTGCTGTCTACAATGACAGTGAGAAAGCTTCACCATTAAATCATCCCGCTCAGAGAACACAACACCACCACTTCAAAGACTGTTGCCACCATTGTGGTTTAGTAACCTTGAATCTTATTTTAACCCAGTCCCACTTCGGCGAACATTGCATATTGAGGTAAACAGTGGCTCGACATGCAGAACACATGTTCTAGCCACTTCAGTCGCTGAGGGTTTACAACCTTATAGACTGATTCGCCTTCCTTGCATAGTACTCCATGTTTAACCTCGACTTTGCTCGCATCGTGATCCCACCAAACGCGAGTAATGCTACGAAGACACCTGTAATCAAAACTTACAAACAAAAACCACACCTTGTAGCGATGTCTCACAGTCATATTAGGGCAAAGTCGACTACAGCACAGCACTCTCTTTTTCAACAAGGAGTTGGGTATCTCGCCAATCGTCCCCACGGATGGCACAAGTTGGCAAATACCAAACAAGCTTTCTGTATCTCAGCTGAGATTTCGTCAGCAACCAACCCATTCGGGGTGATGCAACTTCCCTAGTAATTAAAGTAGTTAGCACATTCGACCAATCGACATCCTATCCTAAAACTGAGAACAGCCGTAGACTAGTCCTGAGGCATCGTTGTGCCCAAATTTCTGCTCAAGACGTTCAAAAGACTGTGTATTTTGTCAGCATCTTCGCCTAAGAGGACAAAGTTGTCTGCGTACTCTTCAAGTTAAACAGGCGCTGCCAAGGATTAAGTTAATCCGTAAGAATTCTGAGACACTTAAGGTTATGTCCATTAGTAGGTCTATAAAAAAAATCAAACACAAACCGTGACAGTTGGAATCTTTGGCGGACACCACTGGTTATCATCTTTTCAGGCGACAGCTTTCCATAACCCCTAACACGGCTGCATGAGTTCAAGTAGAGAGCTTTGATTAACGTCACAGGTTTGTTTGGTAATCCATCTACAGTAATGATCACGTACAAGAAGTAAATCTCTCCAGCCGACTGTAAACTTGACTCAAATGGAATAGTTGTCAAATGTCCTATAGTCATCATCAGCATCAACATTCAATAAGATTGAAAAAACTTTGGAGATATTTCGAAACTTCAAATCAATCTGTCAACCTAACAACTTGGACTGTGTTAAAAATGGACAATTGATTAGTTAGGCTTCGAAGAAGTCAACAGCTGGAAAGTCTTATACATGACTAAAGTCGACACCAGTAGTAAAAAGAGAAAACCTATCTTGTTTCAGATTTTTCTGACTGAAGGCTTTTCACTGAAAGTCGACAAAAATGAAAAGAGTGAGACAGAAATGCGTTAATATCAACATTATTATCTCACCTGCTTTATCACCAGGCAGTAGTGTTCGACAGCCGATACACGTTGCACGTACTTTTGTAAAAGCTGATAGTTGGCCGACAGTAGAATGTACAACAGCTTTTACCCGTGTATGTTCACCGTCTACAGAAAAGAAATAGGCACAGTTAAATACAATACAATAAAACGCATTAAAACAAACCCAGACTGTTTGTTAAGGTTGTTAGGCGTTCAAGGCAGTAAAATCAAGGAGAAGTAAATATGAAGTTCATAAGTCACCTGAAGTGTAGTTCTTCCCAGTATAGCTACCCTTCGTCCGTCAGCACCATGCAACAGCACAACATAGTAGGCCTCAGAATGAAATTATTTATCACACATGAGAATTAAGCCAGTTCTACAAAATAAAATCATTTTTTGGTATTACCAGCTCCACAGAAATAATACACACACCTTGTCAACAATGATATCCCGTTCCCATCGTGTGTACCCGTCCTTATCTGATGCACATAGCAAAGAGTTAGTAAACTCGTTAGATAGTAAGTTGGTTAGGGGCAATAGACAGGAAGCCCTGTTTCACCTGGGTTTCGTGTTTGTTGGCACTCGTCAGCAAGACGTAACTGCAACCTTGACGGAACTGACGTTCTCCGCCTGAGGTTCAAACCACGTCACCCAGTACTGTAGTCACCAACGTTACCACTGAGCTATTCGAACCTCAACTGACCTCCTGTGAGACTGGGTTAGAAGCACGAAACCTAGGTCCAGAGTTTCCTGCCGATAACCTCCAACCAACTAACATCCATTAAAGTGCACCACGATGCTAAGACTCTTAGCTTGGTGGCCACATTGCAAAAGTGACAGATAGAATTTGGTCAGCATCCAGCACTAGACAACATGGAATTGGTTGTTCTACTGGATTAATCGATGTGTCGTTAGACAGTATTAGTTCAGAGTAAGTCTTATGGGCAAAGAGATGGGAGTTATTCCTCAAAGTTAGGCATTTTCTGGTTTCCCACATAAAAGAAGATACCACGGTGTCATAGGTTGCTAAATAAAAGCATATGCCATTCAGCCCGTCACAAAATGATCCAGCCACAGGAGTTACATGAAGATAACTTGCACGAACTCATCAGAGGGGGTAAGAATGCAGTGATGCATATCCATGTGGCAAAGAATCAATGGTTGCCAAACTTGTTGGGTATTATCTGTTCACCATGTGTGTAAGTATTGTTTGCATGCTCAAAGTGCAAATGCCTTCCTCAGGGCGGAGTACTTCACAGAAGCTGACAAGCTGAAAAAGTAAAGCACACGTCAGTATGACAACGGGAAATTACTAGTATAAATAAACAATAACTGATGCCTGTTGCACAACAGGTAGGTATCATATCCTAGTGGTCTTGTGGATAGTGCTATGGCGCTTGAAGCGATGAGTACTGAGTTCGAGTCTTAATTGAAACATCGCCACTCACTAAGGTGAAGGTACATCCAGCTAACGAATCCTGAATAGGAGGAAGTGCACGTCACGCCAGATTCCGTTGCTAGCCACCAAGTAAACTCCAAGATTAGAAAAACTATATTCAAGCAGTATCAAAGCAGCTGCATAGAAGCCTATTGGCCAACAGAAGTTGAGCGATTCAATCCAGTGTGGCAATCGGAATTTACACGTCAGAGAGATGAGTCACAAACAACAAAAAATCAAATTAAACTTACTCAATAATACAGATTTAGCTTTCACTTCGCCTAGAATAGGCTCAAATATACGCAATAACGGATTAGCCAATTGATTCTCTAGATAATATTTCGTATCAATTGGTATATTATGCTCTAATACATATAGAGGATCCTCAGCTTTAGCATAGGCAGCAGTATTTTTCCCGCCAACTGCTGTTATCACATATGGTACACGATCGCCTAAATTCGGCGCTGAACCAGCATCACGTTTACGCATTTTTGTAGCCAATTCAACATGAGCTTGTTTACCGGTGTATTCTTCATCAGTTTTAGTTAATTCTTTACTGATTACCAATTGGGATATATCAATACGATTACATAACAGGTCGGATATAATTGATTGAGCATAACTAATCGCTGCATTTGGATCACTGGAAAACATGATTAAAATTAAAAAAATTTACAGCGTAACAACATACTTTTTAAGTAAGAATAAGGAAGAGCTAGCTGTAAGAAGCATGTGGTGAAAATGGTAAGCTAGATCCAAGAGTAGAAAAAGGAATCATACAAAGTGTTTCTGCATGCGTTTCACACATGTCAAGTGTAAGATGATACGTTTGGACTGGTCTGCAACCACTCCCACTTTTATGATAGGGAGTGAAGTGATAGAATTTATCAACCATTTCACTTACTTGAGGAGTTGCATCAGCCCTAACAGGTTGGTTGCTGACGAAATCTCAGATCCGATACAGAAGGTTCGTATGGCATTTGCCAGCTTGCATCTCCTGTGGAGCTCACTGCCAACAAATCCGACTATCTACCAAAGGATGAGTATAATGAGCTGCAGTTCGTTATTTCCTGTTATACAGCTGTGAGACATGGCCATCAAAAGAAGATATGAAGTGCCCACAGGGTTGATAACAGATGCCTTCGTAGCGTTGCTGTCATCTGATGGGATCATTGTGTGAGCAATGTCAAGTTCAGGGGAAATGAACTAGGCAAGACAAGCAAGTCGATTGATGACGTTGTGAACGTTAGTCGACTAACATGGCTTAGACATGTAATGCGTATCGCCAGCCACCGCCTACCTTGACAAGCCGTGCTACGGGTCAAGGTGACTAGACCAAGACGTTGCATCAGCCGATGAAACCTCCTACTGTTGGTATGAGTGGTGTGCAGAGATGCAGACTGACTGTTTGGGGTCCCTGAGATGAAACGAATCAGTGGTTGAGGACTCTCGGAGATATGGCTGAAAATCAGTGACAATGATGCCGATGTTTTCAGTATTCGACGTCTTCTAAAGCTTGAATATTCGCACTAACGTATATCTTCAAATTGTTTACTATCTCAGGCAACTTTGTCTACTTTGATGTCACTCTTTTTCCTATCTACTTGTTTTCTATATACTACTGTGAAGTGTAGTAACTTCAGGTGGTGCACGTGTGTGAGAGGTTATATGTTGATTTTGTCAGTCAGTCAGTTAGTTTCTGTGCGTGTAGTCCTGGGTTAGAACCATATCTTGCACTGCCGAGTCTTCTGTGATACGAAGTAGGTGTATGCGTGCACCTATCGTTAAATTCGATTTGACCTTCTAAACAATGTCAAACAGGACGTTCACTGAGAAACATTTCCTGTCGCATTTAGGAGCACCTCACAGTGAAGTTGAGTAAAGAGGAACTTAAAAACATAAATCCATCAGTCGTCTAACATTTGGTTGACTACAACCATTTAGCTTTCGAATCATCCATTTGAAATTATGTACAAATTCAAATCAAACTTCTCGAAGGGTGCTCGCATACACCTACTTTGTATCAGTGAAGCTTTGGCGATGCGATACAGAATCTTAAACCAGAACTAGGTGTGCAGAAACAGTTTGTACAGTCTCTTTCACTATCCTGAACCTAGCTTACCATTCTCACCAGATGATTCTTGCATGTATCTCCTCTTTATTTTTATTTTATTCTATTTCAGTCCATCTTATTTTTTAATAACAATTTTACGCTGTTTAATCCCTTTCATATCGCACTTTGTCTGGTCAATGTTCACATATGTTGCTTCGCTTTATCTTCAATCAACTACTTTTAAGTTAAGTCACACCATATTCATTCACTCGTTCGTCACCTCCTATCTTGCGTTCTTGTTCTTTACTATCCATTATCTTTCCACTTTATTTGATGATTCATGAAATATTATCTTCACGCATATTATTGCACTTCATGGTTCGACTTTTGTAAAAATGGGACATATAAAGACACAAACAAATTTGTTGTCGAGGTAGTGTTCATCATGGACGGACATCAGAACCATTGGAAACCTGGACAGCCGTTTCGTCCTAGTATGGGACTCATCGGCAGTACGCACCCAGCTTGGGATCGAACTCAGGACCTTCATGTTTCACGGCGAACGCGTTCCCTGTGAAATATGAAGGTCCTGAGTTCTGTCCCTAGCCAGGTCGTGGGAGCTTACTGCTGAGGAGTCCCATACTAGAGTGGAACAGCTGTCCAATGCTCCTAGGTTTTCAGTCGTTCCCCAACTGGTGTCAGTCCGTGATGAATACTGCCTCAAAATTGTCTGTTTCAACTTGGGTATAAATAAGATTGTAAATGAAATCGTCGTGAAGCGAAATTTTTCGCTGTAATTTTTATTCAATACAGATTGTTGAGTAATATAAAATGGAACCGAAATCCACTCAGAAACCTTGCACACCCTAGTGGAGTAGGCAATGAATCACGTCGATTGTCTGAGGACTAATAATGATACTGCTACCTGGCTGCCCCAACCTCAATAGGTGGTCCAAACCGGTATCTCACTGATTAAAAGTCAACTCCCTAAACCAATGAGCTACCAATCTAAGGTATTAATTCAGTAATACAATAAGAGCATGATGATATGAAACTTTAAACAGCATAATGTGAAGTCTAAATCAATCACATCACTCTTGGCATGAAAATTAAAATTGATACGCTACCAAGGTAGGTTCAAAGTGAGTATCTAATTGTTTCTGTATAGGCAAAGGGGGTTTAAATTTACTGATGGTTAGAGCTTTGATAAATTTAAACACTCGGTCCTGACTACCTTTATGTGATACTTTAAAGGCTGTTCTCAAGTCTGCCTAATGACTAGTTCCTAGTAGGTATGTATGCCAATAGATGAAGATGGAAGTTCGACACCTGCACTTAGAATAAACTGGGGGTCAGACGTTAGTGAAGCGAAACAGATGCATATTCAACCATCCTTGAATGTATATCACAACTACTTTGATGTATGTGTGTCCACACCCTATCTATGTTGTTAGAAAGGGGGGATGAACAGAAAGGCCCCTGTAAGTTTGGTGGGGGAGGCCTACTCAGCCAGCGTAAAAATTTGCAGTTCACGCTATCCCCTGTAATAGTTATGTGATGAAGTATTGGGAGCTGGAGAGCCCACTGCCATCTACCGTGATATTTTCTGTAATTTCGTTGTCAGCTTGTGTGACAATAAGTTGGAGACATTTTGAGAGTACGCAGTGGTACGTTTTACGGTTTGTTAACATTTTCATAATTAAAACAAGTAAAAAAAGAGTAATTTTGATGTAGTACATAAAATGGAATTTTTTCGGTAGCCAAAAAGTCTAGGTAGGTGACTCAGAGACGTGTTAGTTCTACTGGGATCTTACTACACCTCGTTTCAATAAGATTTTTAATACTGTCAGTCTACATGTATAATATCAGTTTGTAAGGTTTCAAGTATGATCGTAATTATTGATTACAATCACAGGAAAATGGACATCTGAGTCGCATAGATGTATCACTCACACAGTGGTTAGTCACCCTGCTTTATGAGGCTTAATAAAGCAAGACAGACTGTTCTATCAAACTTCAAAAAGAAATTCCTTTTATTTTTATCGCTGTCTCGATACTTGTAACTTCCCATTGCTATACAGAATCAACACCTCGATAGTGTCGGATATTCATGATGTTATGTTCATATTACATAACATTATGGATATCCGGTAGTATCAAGGCGTCCGCATAGGAGCCCATTTGCCAATGGGGGTCGAGCAATTTAGCCCTGTATGGTAACGGGGAATTAAAATATCAAACAACAAATGATACCTGTTGCACAGGCGGTGGCTTTCATGCTCCAGTGGCCTAGTGGTAACGCTCTGGTATTCGATGCAGTGTGTAGAGTTCGAATCTCATTGGGAACAACCTCGCTCACTGGGCTGCTAATGTGTGAAGTAGGAGGAAATGCATGTCCTGGATTTTGTTGCTCGTCACCAAGATGAATGTAACCTATTAATCTTACACTGCATGAATACTCATCCCTAGAACCCACTGAACAGTCACCTATAAATAATATTTCCTCACATCGTCTTCTGGTAAACAGCATGTTACAGTATTGTGAACACCTGCTTGTTTCTGGTCACCTTCACACATATGTATTGGGAGAGTATCCACTCTCCAGAACGATATTTTTACACATAAGTAGTTACAGTTGTAGTTTGTCATTTAAGCTTCCGTAGATGCCATTTTGAGTTTCTAAGTCTTCGTAACTAGAGTTTTCATAAAACTGGTTGAATATTGTACTCTTTGTGTAAAAATGATTCCAGTAAAAACGCATCATCACAACATAAAGTTATAAAAGTATATCATTAGAACAAGACATGTAAGCGAGCAGTATTGTTTTCAATTAAATCTCCTCAAATTCTACTCCAATATACATAATGCTGAAGTAATTATGGATAGGGAACAGCAATGGAAACTAGAACGTTGTCTGCTAGGCCACCGAGTCAAAATAGCCACTTCTCATCTGAACAATAATTAGTTTCATACCCCTTCACTCTCTTATTTTTCATATAAATGCCAATGGTAAGTAAATGTCTCGTCCGATTGTTCGAAATGCATTTCGAGTTCAATAAGGATTTTATGTTTAAGGTGGTATTCATCACGGACTGATATCAGTTGGAGAACTATCGAAAACCTGGGAGTACTGAACAGTCGTTTCGTCGCAGTACGGGACTCTTCAGCAGCACGCTCCACGAAAACGAAATCCCTATTAACCTTGAAACACACTACTGTATAGTGCTCATTAGTGACACGCTTCAAAATGGATATCCTGAAGTTCTAATGAAAAGCCGTGATCTGTGGGACCAATCAATCGAATGTAAGCGGATGACATCTGAAGACCTTAGGTGATAGTCGCGCTACATCGCGAATCGACAAAGCAGAAAACTGTGGCCATTGAACCCCGAACCAGAGAGTGAATAGCTAGCGCATCCGCCGCGAGACCTGAAGTTCCTCAGTTTGATCCCTGGAGAGGCGAGGTCATGAGTGTATACTCCTGAAGCCTGATAACAGAACAAAACAGCCATCCAGTGCTCCTAGGTTTTCAACGGTTCTCTATCCGATGTCAATCCCTGATGAATAGTACCTTATAAATATGACATGTGCTTGAAAGGGATTGAAAAATTACATTTTATCCCTTAAACCACTTAAGTTTTCTCTGGCCAAAGTGAAGATAAACGTTTTACAAACCTTTTCTGCATACAAAAAATAGAGTTGATACATCAAGGGTGAACAGTAGAATCCAGAATGCGTGTTTTGTCCTTTTCAGGACTCGTAATTTGGACGTACCTGCCTACCAGTGATGGTGTTCTCACTGGGACTCGAACTTATTGTCTGTCGCTACAAACGCCGGAGTGTTACCTCTAGGGTACTGAGTTACGACAGCCACTTCTTGTGCAACCAATCAATAACGAGGGATAATGAGTTCCAATATCAAACACTGGAGTTGTTTTCTCTAATTTTCATAGCTTCAGTTATAAATGATCTGTAAATAGACCCAACCAATCAATGTATCCAATCCAGTCCTGCAGGAGGTCAATCATGGCTCGAATAGCCCAGTGGTGACGTCGCTGACTGTAACAGTAGGTGACCGGGGTTTGAATCTCACAGGGGACATCAGTCCTCTTGAGGTTGTAGATACGCCTTGCTGACGAGTGCAAACAAGCACGAAACCTAGGTCGATCAGGGCTTCATGCCGATTGCCCCCAACCAACCAAGAAAATCAAACTTCATATTGACTCCACTTATCTATGGAGGTACATGCTCAGCAACACGTTTGTTAAGCTGTCTGGTGGTTCACAGATGTGATGTAACTGGTCGACTTGCCTTTTATCTGAGAATAAATGACCGACTGACCAGAAAATGGTAAGTAAAGGTTAGCAGCACAGAAAGTTCTTGCGATGGATCTAGAAAAGCTTCTAGAATAGAACTTCATTAGATGAGTCCCCATCAGAAGTAAAATTATGTAAAGTCGAATACAGCATGAGGAGATCTAGTTGAAGACAAAATTGTTCACTTATATGACTTGTATTACCTCAGTTGCGTATTATGTAGCTATATTCCCGTATTTACACATCACATCTACTCAGCATTAGGCTACTTACTACTAGCAAGTAGTACCGCTGATGCTATTATAACGTTTTGCAGCTTTACAGATTTCACTTAACATAACAGACTTGCTGCAACTATAACACTTTTTAGTCTGTTGGATTGGATCTTGAATGCTACTGAAAGCATGCAGGAGGCTGACAATTCCCGGGTACCCACGCCATGTGAAAGGCTATTTCTCCTTAAGGTACCTGAAAGAGAAAAAGATTTGCGTGACCGCAGAGACCATGGACATCTGCTTGAGGACTGTCACATACACAGAGTCTTTTGGGGATTTTCGGTCAGATTTGATGGTTCTAACGCCGGCACCGGAAGACTATAAGGTAGGGAGGGTAGTGGTGTGCTACTTTTGACGCCGACTTTTTCTAACTCCTCACTTCCCACAGGGAAGGCAGCACTAGAGTGGCAATGCTGGTCATCCAAGGGATACATCTTACCACAGTCACGCTCCATCCAACCATTATTTCGACTTCTTCCTTAAACCCCCATCATACAATAGCAAATTATACTGTAAAGACAACTGGTTTTCCCCCAACAGACCTTCCCGGCATGGTAGGGCCTCAAGCGAACACATTTTGTAGTTAACCATGGCTGATAGTTGAGCGCTGCTCATTTATTTTAAGTTGTACACCTCTCTGACAGCGTGGTAAACACACAGTCACTTAAGGGTTTGAAAATTGCATTTTTATCAATTGTTGTGATTCTACATAGTAGCACTATCCCTGAGATCAACGTGGTGCTTTAGCTTTAAGATTTAACCCGTAACCCGAGGAGAGGATCAAAATCGAAATCAACTCAGCAACCATGTGAACATTCGTGCAGTAAGCAAGGAGCTACACCTATTGTGTAAACGGCTAGTGATACTACGTAGCCGCCTAAACCTCGTTAAGTGAAACGGGACTCGAACCCATGGCCCACTAGTTGAAACTCATATCCCTAAGCCAATGAGCCATAGCCATTCCAGGAGCAATTGGTTTTGAATTTCTGCAATGAAGCGTAGAGCAATATTTAAAGAAATGTAATAGATATCAACATGACAGCTTAAGTGACTTACCGATCAATTAGTATTCTCTCCAAGCATGCATTTATCAAATTTGCCACTAGTGGACTGTTATCACGTCGTACAGTTTCAATCCCTTGCAATCCATTTTATCATGATGATCTGGTTTAGTGAAATACAAGCCAGCATAACGTTTTTTGTTGATCAATAGATAAGGGAAATACACCTGAAATAGATTATACATACGGAGGAAATGCTAGGTGATTATGGTGAGAAATCCCGGTCTATCAATTATATGACATAGGTCATGAGTGGCACACTATCAGACAGACAGACAAAATCAATGCGGAACCTTGCACACAAGCGCATTACCTGAAGTTACTACACTTCACAGTAGTATATAGAAAACAAGTAGATAGGAAAAAGAGTGACATCAAAGTAGACAAAGTTGCCTGAGATAGTAAACAATTTGAAGATATACGTTAGTGCGAATATTCAAGCTTTAGAAGACGTCGAATACTGAAAACATCGGCATCATTGTCACTGATTTTCAGCCATATCTCCGAGAGTCCTCAACCACTGATTCGTTCCATCTCAGGGACCCCAAACAGTCAGTCTACATCTCTGCACACCACTCATACCAACAGTAGGAGGTTTCATCGGCTGATGCAACGTCTTGGTCTAGTCACCTTGACCCGTAGCACGGCTTGTCAAGGTAGGCGGTGGCTGGCGATACGCATTACATGTCTAAGCCATGTTAGTCGACTAACGTTCACAACGTCATCAATCGACTTAACTGTCTTGCTAGCTAGCCCGCACAAAATAGGTGTGGCTCATCCGCCACTCCAGAAACCTGCGCAGATTTGCTGAGTAGATTCTATCAGTTCACACCAATTCATTACAGCGGAATTATGCCAATTACTCTGTAATGTTAGTTGAATTGTGTACAGCGAGGTCTATAAAGTGATAAGTGAGGTAAGCGACTCAATACTTTAGCAACTTATATTTGAAATCGAAAAGTTGTAGATGGTTAGCCCCAGTACGATGTTGACTTGTAAACTCTCATCAAGCGACAGTAGGTTGAAACCTAGATTTACAGCTACCTTCCTAACGATATAACCCACAACCACCCAGTATCGATTTCGCTTAGACATTATTCAGTGATTGAAATAATTAGCAGAATATAAAAACGAACCTTTTCAAATTCCAGTCGGATAGGGTTTGGAAATTCTTGAGATATGACCTCAGCAGCTTTACGACCCAGTTCCATAGCTTCAGCTACTGTCGACACACCAAACTTACACATCACAGAGTCTGTATCACCATAAATAACCTGCAAAATAAATAGATTATTACAGAGGAGAGTTGAATAGTGTGATTTCGAGATAGAGACTAACACTAGCCATTATTAAAATACATTATGCCGAAAAGATAAAACATGTGCTTTACCGCAAAACTAAACACTATATGAATGATTGGGTCACATTTAATTATTTTTACAGGTTTACGTGTACGTATGTGGTCACACATGCATAGGAGGAGTAGTCGAAACATGCAGTTGAAGGTAAGAGAACAAGTACCTAAGTGCCTTCAAAAACAATTATTGTGTAAAACCTTGGTAAACGCAGATAGGAGACAACCCTCTTCATGAATAACTAAAGATATTGTAGAGACGGGTTTTATATCGAAAAAGTCAGGGACGCATACTGAAATTCGCCGAAGTGATGATAGCCATACGCGAAATGAAACCACCTTTGTGTGTGGAAAAAGAATTTGTTCTTAGACTACCTTGATAAACTTTGTTTTGTTACCAAATTGAGGAATAACTATGCCACTCTTCCTTTTTGTCCTCGCTTTTCTTAATTTTAATCCCTAATATCTTTACTGTTCTATTCATTATCCCATCCTTCGGTCTAATACAAATTGACTTGACAAGTAAATGTGTGATCAGATTGTTCAAAATGTATGGGTACATTGTTCAGATAAACTTGGTCTTCTAATTATACTGTCCAAATTTATTATTATTATTCATACAAAGTCATTTCTATGCGATGATATAGATAAATATCAGATTAATTTGTCCTGTGTTGGGAAAGAGACACTATCCCCTGAATTTAATTTTTCAGTTTTATACACGAAAATTTCTCATTTGGATATTAACACCCAGTTTGGAAATCTCTGTGTTCAGTTGAGTCCTCTTGTCCCTAAGTCTTCAGATAATCAAAGTTAGTTAAAGGCCAAATTAATCGATATTGCTCATTCATTCCATAGTTTAGAACCAAGAAAAATAAGAATTTAGAATTCTCAACACTTGAAATCTTTGAAAGAATCACAAATTAGATCTGATATAATCATTATCAAAACCGACAAGGGATCAGATGATAAATAAAAGTGACTATAAAGATAAAGTGTTATCCATCCTCAGAGACAAGAGCAAATTCATGGCTAAAATCGCATCAGAAGATATTAGGAAATTGGAAGTGAAAGTAACCTCTAATTTAGCAAAACTTTTGAATATGAATGTTACTGGTAGAGACGAATTTAATTCATTGAAGCCTATAGAATCTGAATTTCGAAATTTGTAAAGATTGCCTAAGATTCATAAAACTAATAACCGTTACGTCATACATTGTTTGTGGGTTGTTCCCCCACACATAAACTGGAGAAATGGTTGGTGAAAGTGTTAAAACCAGTTCGAAATGAATTCTGAAATATTTATTGTAAAATACTGTTCAACTTGTTGACTGTAGCATGTATATCGAAAACAAGATTATGTACTTCTTTGATGTAAATTCTTTATTCGTTAACGCGCTATTGTCGAAGACTGTTAACATTCTCTGTGATTACATATCCTCTAGCAATCTCCTACTCCCTATTTGTTCCAATGTATCTGAGAAAAAGAAACTAATGTGTTCTCATGAATTGAAAGTACAACACAGGAGATATTTGTCTTCCCACCCATTCTTCGGTTTTACATGAATTGGTTTGACAAATTAAATGTGGGATCAGATTGTTCCAAAATGTACTGGCACAAACATATCACACTATTTACAATATGGTAAATAAATTATGTCCGGAAGGTTATCCAGTAAATGATACTGTTTCATTGTGTGGCAGACTAAAATGGAATTACAACCTACCTCAGTGCACAAGTTTTACTCCTATACTATACAAATAAACTTCGAATTATACCATCCAAAATTAAAAAGCGACTAGAGTAGATTATAAAACTATGCTACCATAAAGTTTGAAAAAAGGAAAATTTGTTGACAAATCTGACTTTTTTGAGGACTATCAAAATTTAGAAGACATCATAGACTGAGTAAATCTGCGCCATTGTGATCAATTTTCAGATATGTCACCAAGAGTCTTCGACTACTCATTTCTTTCGTCTTGGGACCAGAATCAGTCGGTTTATATCTCTCAACTCATACCAACAATAAGGGACTTCACTAACTGGTGCCAGGTCTTCGTCTGGCCATCCTGAACCCTCTTCAAACCTAATCCAACTGCCCCTAGCATGGCATATTGAGGCGGTGGCTTGGCAAGCGGGGTACATGTCCAAGCCATCTCAGTCGACTTACGTTCACAACCTCATCAATCGGCTTACCTGTCTTGTTTAGTACACTTCCCTTGACCTCAACATTGCTCACACGGTGATTTCACCACATGTAATTAATACTACGAAGATATTTGTTATCAAACCCTATAAGCGCTTCATATCTCCTACCTTTAACCGCCATGTCTCACAGCTGTATAACAGACGAAACAGACTGCAGCGTAGTATACTCGTCCTTTGACAGATAGTCGGATACCTCGCCAGTCGGTGTCATAAATGATGCAAGTTGGTAAATGTCAAACGGACCTTCTGTATCCGACCTGAGATTTTGTCAGCAACCAACCTGTTAGGGCTGATGCAATTCCCCAAGTAAGTGAAGTGGTCGACATATTCCATTACTTCATTTCCCATCGTCAAATTGTGAGTAATTGCAGTGGACCCGTTTTGGAGCATCATTTCAAAGTTGACAGGTGACAGTGAAACGCATGCCAAACATACTCAGATTGCTGCTCAATGCATTCAGAAGACCCTGCATTTTTCCAGCGTCTTCACCTGAAGGACAATATCATCTGTATACTCCAAGTCAACCAGATGACCTCCGGGAATAGATCAATCTCTGCGGATTTAGACGTACCTAGGCTTATGTTCATTAGCACGTGTGTAAAGAAGTTAAATAGGAACGTTGACAGTGAGCATCCCTGCAGAACACCACTAGTTGTCAACTCACGTGAAAAGCCTCCAAAAGCACTTACATGGATGCGTGAGTTCGAGTAGAGAGCTTTGATAAGCATTATATATTTGATCGGTACTCTCTTCACAGTCAGACACGCATTCTCACAACGCCTGATGGTCGACTGAGTCAAGTGCCACCTTCACGTCAAGAAATACGGTAGGTGTCGGCCAACGGTAAGTATGCTTGTGCTCCATAACCTGTCAGAGGGTGAAGATATGGTCAATGCACCTCGTCTCATCCAGGTCTGAAACCTGTCTGGTTTTCTGGAGCTCCAGTTACGTACCACATAACTATAGAGCCTAGGATCTTGGATACGATGCTAGTCAAACTAATTCTCCTATGGTTATTGTAAGACTTCTCTCCCTTCTTATAGATTGGGATGATCAGTAAAGTGCACCAGTCAGACGGCACTACTTTCGATTTCCATACACTACCTCCGTCATCGAAAACTTCGGGTGGCAAACTGTCAGATCCTGCTGCTTCCCATCTCATCATGTTCGATAAAGCTTTCTCAACTTCACGGAGGGTTGAAGGAACGATATCCACAGTCCCATTCAAGGTTCAGGCTGGATGCTGGGCAAGTGATCCGTTTCTGATGGCCAGCTGAACTACTGCTTTAAAGTGTTCTGCCTAACGTTCTAGCTGCCTATCTTGAGAGGTTATCAGTGTCGCATCTTTTTCGGCGAAAATTCTACTCACCGTCGTCTTATTCTTTCCGGTGTTCTCAATAAGCCTAAACAGTTGCCGAGTGTTCCCGAACACTTATGCCTTCTCCATCTCTCTCGCTTTCACCATACATCACTACTCGTGATCGACGCGAAGACGTTTGGTCAAATTACGTTTAAGTTGCTCTTGCTCTTTATCGAGGTCACAGCCAGATAGAATTAATGTTCTCGCATCAAGCAGTTCGGATGACGTCGCGGAAATCCGATAACGTTTCCTAACCTTCGGGTGTAGGTTACCAACTAACTTTATCGTTGTTTCTACAGCAGACTTAATATCACTCCAGATTTTCTCAGGATGAGCACTGTTGTCATGTTCAGATAAATGCTAAGCTAACTTCTCTCTAAATGCATACTTAGTATCCTCATCTGCAAATCGACCACAGATTAGACTCATTTCCTCATGTTTTCTGCAGTCAGTAAGGTGCAGAGATACACGAGTTCATACTAGCGCATGATAAAATTCCAGGAAGAGCAGTAGTCCTCCACCGATTCTTTCCAACAATGGCTTATAACAATGTGATCTAGCTGCGTCCATCGTTTGTTTAATGTCGGCGGACGCCACGTGAGACAATGTCTCTCCTTATGCCTAAAGTTATTGCTAGCCGGAAACAAGTTATTGTCGGAACATAATTGCAACAGGCGACCACTGTTGTTAGTCCGTTGGCATGGGATTCCGTAAATACCTCCAATATGCTCTTCCGACTGGCTAAGCTTCCCCTACTTGAGCGTCAAAGTCACCTGCCATTATGACTACAACTTAACGATTCGCCTTCTCTGGCAAAGTTGATAGCTCTCGAAGAATTCATCCTTTGCATCATCCAAACTACAGTCGATGGGTGCAAAGGTGAAGATTACGAATGGGGATCACCTAGTCTCATAATCCTTCCTAGTCCTTATAGATGCATTCAGCCGAACGCACATAGACAGCTGTTTACTGGAATCCAGTCCAGATTTGTACTTTCTGCTTCACAACTCAATGGTATGCCTACACCAGTGAGTCCACGAGAGCTAGCCATCGGATCTCTGGATACCCTTAAGGTGAATTCTAAAGATTCACTACTACAGCCAGGTGAGCTCAATTCAATAATCACACTCAGATCCTGTAAATGTGTTTCTGAGATACAGCACGCATCCGTGGCATGAGATTCTACAGTTCTGGGGAGCGATGCTTGCTATCCTATTTGGCATAGAGTTCAGATGTTGAAAGCTCCTACATGAGGTCGATCGCGGGTCTTAAAATACTGGGAATAAGGTTCCTATGGCTTTGATCGTTGATAATGATTGCAGAGTGAAAGGTTATGTAAGGCGTAAGAGGTTTGATATTAGTATCAGGAGGTGAAGGCAAAGGAGGAGACAGAGTTGAGGAGGATAGGTTACGTATGATTGGGTCTTGTGTACTACTGGAAGCTTGGGAGTGGTCGACACTTTTTGGCTGCCCACACTGTGAAAGGCTGTTTCTTTCTAACGCACCTGAAAGAGGAAAAGATGAGTGAGACCACAAAGCCATTTGGACATCTGCTTGAGGCCTGTCATACAGCCTTTTGTGGGTTGCTGTTTTGAGATTTGGTTGTTCTAATGCTGAACTGGGAAAATCTATACCGAAGGCACTGGAAGACCATGGGGAAGAGAGAAGAGTGCTAATTTGGAGTGACAACCTTTTTTGAACCCCTCGCCATAAGGGAAGGCAGCATCAAAGTGGCACTGCTGTCACACCCCATCCAGTCAGCAGCAGTACAACTTTGCATCCCACCAACATAATTCGTTGGGTCATTGTGATAAGTAAGCCCGATCATTACGTCAAGGTAGCAGCTATCGGTCAGGTATAATGATTGCACCATACGCGAGCAACGCTACGAGTATACCTGTGATCAGAAACTTACAACCCCTTCATTTCTTCTACTGTTAACGGCCGTATAACATGACAGAATGAACTGCATCGCATTATATTCGTCCCTTGATAAGTAGTCTGGTAACTCGTTGGCGTCAGAGATGATGGCATAGGTTGGCAAACGACAACTACCTCAGTATGGCGGTATGTCATTGCACAACACTATTACATTCTATTATTTACTTTCCATTCAGTTTAAAGAAGCTCAATTAGAACCTAGAAATTTACCGACTTCAATAGGTTTTTAGGTTTGAGGTTAAATATATATGAGCGTGAAGATACTCACTGAAAGGGAAAAAGACTACAAACTCTCAATACAGTTAGTAATGATTTTGTCGGCGTCAGAAGGGAAATGTGACCTGATAGGATTGAATACGCTGAGTATTGGGTAAAGCAAACAACAACATTAGGTAAGAGGGTTCTGCAGGACAACCAATAAATCTCAGGAATGCTTCACTTCACATAAAAGATAGAACTTCTTTCACCTACACATCGACTTGTGTCTACGGATTGGGCTGTGTCGATTGTGACGGCTTTTATATTGGGGACTCATCGCACGAAATCCACATTCGTGCTTAAGAGGATTCAAGCTATGCAAAACGACCTCCAAATAATCCAATAGAACTGGGAGAATTTACAAATCAAATCTGCAGATGCAGTTTATGATACCGTTCATAGTCATAAATTTGGCATTGGGAATATCAAAACTATTCAAAAATCATTTTCAAGCCAAAAGGAAAGACGAATAGCTGGGGTATTTCATACTAAGCCGAATCCTAGTGTAGTCAACAGAAAGAAAGATCTAGCTATTCAACCGAATTGGACAGTATATTCAAAATACCACGTTGTAAACGCTGGCCACAACTAAAGGACATACGAGTGACTTTAAGCGCCATCGTAGGAACTAACTGATGAGATAACCAACCAGTTACGTTCCTACATTTTATGGAAAACTATCTTCTCAGCTGAAATACCGAGACCTGACTGGCTATCTAAGCAGTTACTACAAACATACACACACATGCACAAGCATACTGAGTTTTTCGTGCATATTACTTTGACTGGCTATAATAGTTACTCTATAAGGGCCACTCTAAGAATGACAGAAATGGGTAATCAGGTCACTTTATTTCGGCTGGAAAGGTATATTTTCACAAAATAAAAAAGTCTAATTGGTTGGTTCAGTTGTTGTTAGAGTGACTTTTACAGTAACTCATTACTTTCCTCACACATTCATAACTTCACCAAGACCTCATAGGTTAACCCAATTAATAAAAATAACATTCATTTCCATATCGTCATCATTTTATGTATACTTATGAACAACATGATCTGATTTGTTTTCACTCTCTATTTGAACAGCGTGCTAACTTATACAGGCTTTATTTGCTAAAGAAGCGGCTTCCACAACGTCGTAAAACGTCAGAAATTCATTATTATTATTACTATAGACATACTGACTTACCACAGCATTATGTGCATATCCATTAGTAATTGAGAACTTCTGTTCCACATGCATTTTAGTCTGTTCAATCATCAAACGACCAAATGACGTCACTGAAGCTGATATCTCTAAGCATGGCAATTTGCCAACCTGTGCACCCGTGAATCCATACACCGAATTAGCACTAATCTTCAATGCCAGTTGGCGACCGTCTAAAACACGTTTACGTAAAGGATCTGTTTCATTGGCAAGTTCAGCTTTTGCTCTGTAATTTAATTTGATTATTAATATACAATTGGCAAATTTAAAAGTAGACTATGAGAATAAATTGTGGGTAAAAATTAATATATTACTAAATAATGAAGTGTAAATTTTGAAGAAAAAAGCGTACCAATGTGACGTAAATCTTAAAAAAAGGAAGAGAAAAACAATCTTTACTCAATAAGATTGTAACTTTGCTAGTGGAAACCAGAGAACAATCTCTTAGAAGCCAAGCAAGAAAAGGACGGTTCGCTTATAAACAACTTCACTACTACTGCTTAGTTTACCAGAATACGGCATACTGAACTATCCCGGACTTGATTCCTCTCGACTAGCTCAATTTAAAGTCCTGTCTTAGGATGCTGAGACGTATATTCACAGGGGAAAAGTAACAGCCAAGCCAGAAAGGAAGCATATAAGATATCCCAGCTAATGAATCCCAATAACAACAGGAAATACACTAAAAAGTACCTATAGGGCTATGAAAAACCAGACTGTGAAGTTTGCAGTAAACAGAATTGACAGAATTCTATGGACCGTTGACCAAATTCACTTAAATTGCTCAGTAGAAAGTCAGTGATGTCTGACTTTAATAAATGACATCTGGAGAAACAAAGTGTTCACTAATAACTTGTTTCGAGATGAGATTCCGAACGAACGAACAAAATGCACTCATTCACTTTGTACTAATCCGTGCGAACGAAATGAAACTTACTCACAACCACTTTGTGCACGTCTTTGCAGTAAGCAATGAGTCGCACCTGTTATCTGACGGCTAGTGATACTACTACCTGGCTGCCCAAACCTCTGTAGGTGGGGCGGGGATCAAACCTAGAACCCAATGGTTGAGCCACGGCTCCACTCCCAAAGTTCTTATGAGAAACCGTGACCGTTCGTGCAAACGAATTTGGAAGTGAGGACATAGTGGCAGATGGCGTTGTTAAGTGACAGAGTGGAAGTGGCTGAAAGAATAATAAGAAATACGAGAGCGCTACTAACGCGATGAGACATTTGGACTGGATACGAATAGCAGCTGCTCTCTCCCTCAGACCTGAAATTTCACTGAGCAGCAAAAATTAGAAGACAAAGACTGGCCTGTGACTGTAAGGAAGACAACATAATCTGACAAAAACACATCACTTATGTACACTTTTTCCTCGGAAAGGAAAGCCATCAGGTCAGAAGTTGGATACTTATTTTGACTGGTCAGCTGTATGACAAAATTGTTCAATAGGGTTTTACCTGCCCATACATTAATGTGAAACAAAGTTGAAATCCAAAACTTCTTCCTCAGCTAATGACTTAGAATGCTGATTTCGATTTAGGCCGCTTTCTATCACACTGCATGAAAGTCACGCTATATCACGAACTGATAGGAGTATGAAGGTGTGAACTATTGGGTCGTGATTCACTAGCTCAACGACAAAACCTGTAGGTCCTGGTATTGGGTGCGACCTGTAGAGGAGTCCTGTACTGGGACGGAACAACCGTCTAGTGCCTCCTAGATTTCCAATGGCCCTCCAACTGATGCCAATCTGTGATGAGTATCAACTTGAAATTAATAAATCCTCACAAACCAAATTAATAACAGTCGGTCAGTGGTATTAAGTGATCTGAGGAATCGTTTTCAGAAAAGGTTTATGAGAAAGGCGATGTCAGAATCGAATATTACTGAAATTCAGTTCAACGTAGTTAATACACACATGATATGTCTTAGATAACCCTAGATGGTTAAAAATCCCTGATGTTCGAGAGTAGTTGTTCAACCTCTAAATGATTATGAACAACGGTGAGTTTTATGGTGCTGATTTATCGTTAAGGTTAAAATGAGTGCGATTCACTTTAATGGTGAAATTCATACCAATTAAGCCTGACAAAAACACAGTGGCAACACTAACGTAGAACTTTCCAAAGAGATGCATCCGTTCAGGTAGCCATACTTTACACCAGTATGTAAACAACAAGTGAGTAGAAAACACGAGATATCAAAGTAGACGAAAGTGTATGCGATGAGAAAGAATTTGAAAAGTGAAGGTTAGTGGAAATGTCGAAACTTGAGATTTCAAAGACAGAATACATTTACAACATTTCAAGCGGCTTCAGCCATCTCACCGAAAGTCTCCGACCACTGATTCTTTTTATCTCCAGGACCCCCAATCGGTCAGTATACAGTGCCCTACACAGCTCAGACTAATAATCAAAATCTTATGGCTTAGTGATACGTCTTTGTCTGGTCATTCTGAGCCTGCTGTTGATCTAATCCAAATTCTGCTAGCATGCTGAGGTATGCGCAACACATGTCTAAGCCACTTCAGTCGCTAAAGGTTCACAAACTTATCGACTGACTTTCCTTCCTTGCCTCGTACACTTCAACCTTGCTCACAAGGTGATCCCACCGTAAGTGAGAAATGCTGCGAAGATACTTGTGGTTAAAAACCTGTAGTCTCTTCACATCTACTTTCAATGGTCATATCGGTGTGAGAGAATAGAGAGTACTGTAGTGCTCGTCCTTTAATGGGTAATCGGATATTTCGTCAGTCGGCACCAGAGATGACGCAAGTTGGTAAATGATAAACAGGCCTTGTGCATCCCAGCTGAGATTTCACTATGAAGCAACGAAAAAGCCTACAGAAAAACATTCGGTCTGAAGAGGGGGGGAAATTTTTTTTCGATCATTGGAGTGATTAGTTTGTTATCCAATGTGTTTCAATGAACAACAACGGTTAATACGCAGTCTTGCCTTAAACAGTAGCTGATTCATCAGCAGTAGCACGTGGAATACGACTTTATGTACACTTCGTGGAAAAAGAGGTATTAATGATAAACTTTTGTACTAGACCCAGTAAAATTACAACACAATCCCATGGAACGACACATTCATCAGAAGTCGGAAGGAAACATCGTGACCACACAGTGATCGTGTTTAGTAATAATCTATAACAACAGCTAAACTATCACCTCTACATGTATCTGAAATGTAATTGAACATTCAGAATTCCCTTGTCTATGAACTCATTTACTATGACATATATTCAAAAGTAAAAAGCAAACTGGAACATTTAAGAGGATCACAGAAAAACAGAATCAACCTGTAAAATTGCTCAGGTAATTCCAGGAATCACAGTTTCAGTGACTGATTTGCACCAGATGGAGATGGTCAGATTGAAAACTATATTTGACATATCTTGAAACCAAGTGGAATAGTAGATGGTAAGGAAGCGGTCTAAATGGAAATCAACATTTTAAGTCGTCAGTCGCTAGCTAAGGTAGAAATTTTGGATTTCAGTTTCTGTTTTATGTTATGTGGTTACGAAAATTTTTATTGGATAATTTGTCGTGCAGCTGACCAATGAAAATAAGTTATTAAACTTTTGACCTAGTGGTATTTTTGTCGAATAGTGTCCTTCTCACAATCATAAGCCAGTCTTTGTTTGCATATATTTTCATGGCTCACTGAAGTATTAGGTACTGAGGGAGAACATTCACTATTCGTATCCAATCTAAGTGTCTCATCTCGTTAGTATCATTGGCGTATTTCTTATGATTCAATTCAGCAAACATCTGTTCCCTTTTCATTTATTTTTAAATATCGAATTCTTGAATTAATCTACAAGCATCTAATGATAATTTACATGAATCCTGACCAAGATTCGACCGGATAATTCCACAAATTATTGGGCACCGAGTGGAAATTTGACATTAGATTTATGGTATACCTGTATAAATCTCAGCGTTTGGCATGGAAGTCTGATCCGAGCTTCTTCAAGAAAATAACCGAAAACTATATTATCATAGTGTAATGAGTTACAGTTCATTTTGTCCTGTTATACGACCGTTGAGACACGGTCATTAAAAGTAGAAGGTATGAAGTGATTATAGGGTTTTGATTTTAAGTGTGTTAGTAGCACTACTCACGTTTGGTGGATCACTATGTGAGCAATGTTGAGGTCAGGAAAATGATTGAATGAGGTTGTGAATCCCCAACAATTGAGACAGCTTGAACATGTGCTGTGCATGCGAAACCACCACCTACCTCAACGTGCCATGCTACAGGATGCTAGATTAGGTTGGAAAAGAGTTCAGAGTGGCCAGACCAAGACCTAGCACCAGTCGAAAAGTCTCTGACTATTGGTCTGAGCCGTCTAAGAAGGTGTAAATTACCTGGTTGAGACGATAGGAGTCAGTGGGTTGAGGACTCTTGGTGACATGGTTGAAAATCAGTCACAGTGGCGCAGAAATATTCATTCTATAGCTTGAATATTTGGACTAACATTAGTTTTTCTCTCCTCCCATACATTTTTGTGTACTACGGTGAAATGCGGCAACTTGAACCAACGCAAATGTGTGCTAGGTTCTAAGCTGATTTTGTCTATCTGTCTATATAGGAGATAAAAAACGTAGTTTATTTCATTGTCCAACCTTGTCTGGATTACGATAACTTTTCAGTATGATTATTGGCCATTCCTTTTCCTTGGTGATTTTTCTTCCCTATGCTATTTCAAACTGTGCTATATTGAAGTAGTGCATCACCATAGCACAGTTTATGCTGCTCCAGACGAGGTGAATGCGTAACGCAAGATTCTCACTTCAGGGAAAGTAATCTTAAGTACCAAACCGAAACTAAGCATTCTCGATCGTCATAACTTGATTTCAAGAGGGAAACTGGAGAGAAATTTTGTCCGGATAAAGAGAGTTGCAGTAGAAATTCACATGAGCGAAAAACTTACTTTTTCCTAGCACTTAACAGTTGTTGTAAAATCTCTGGTAGAATACCTTGACGTATATGCGACTTGACGAAATAAGCTCCAGTAGGCGTTTTGATATAATCTTCATCAGTTAAATTGTATCGTTGGACGACAGCTTGAATACCACCACCAGTGGAACCGTGTGGTGATGTATTCACTTGTAACAATGTTGTATAGCATAGATTATGCGCCATCATAATGCTTGGATATAGACTAGCGAAATCCAATGTAGCTATGGGTTCATTGTAAAAGCCTTTACGTGGTTCCAAAACTGTTGCGCCAACAAACTCATCACTTGTTGTGATTGATATGTCGGCAGTAAATAACCGTGTTCATGAGCTTTACGTAGTAGTTGTGATACGACCTACAGAATGAATACAAAACCAAGAGGTGGAAAATATTTCCCAAAATAACACGCTACTAACTAATTGTAAGTAGTTAGTCTAAAAACAACTTGCAACAGAAAAGTGGATAAATTGGAAAAAACGGAGGCATGAACCGTAAAATAAGTGCTAACCTTGACTTGTTGACCCCTAGTCAGTAGATATGTTAGTGGTACTCCTGTCACACGAGCCATTTCTATATTATTTACAACACACATTAGTTTGTCTAATAAACGTAATGGTAAATAGGCATCTTTTAAACAATAAACAGCTAAACGCCTTCTAGTTTGTGAATCACCATTCTGTAAGTCTGTTATGACATTATGATGAACATCCTCTTTTTGTTCTTCAAGAAAATGATAACTAACTGCATTCAGTGTATAACTCCGGAGTTTGTAGTCACGAAACAAAATCTAAAAGAAAAGAGACGAGAAAAATATGAATTCAATGCATATGAAGAGAGAATAGGATAGTAACTCCCAAATGCTGAAGATACCAGCAAGCCTGGTAATGAAGCAACATTCACGATATAATACAAAAGCTCGGAGAACATCGAGTCATCAACATTATCATCCTGAGCTACAAAACTTTTCCATCATTACAGATATGGAAATAAATTGAGAACAAAAGAAATGTGAACTACAATCCTATATAAGATTTGTTTATATATAAGTACAAGGCATGTATCAGCGAAGAACTATTTCTTTTCAATGACTTCATTATCAAGCTGTACAGTCGTATTTATACTGAGTAAAGTGAACAGATAATTGCACTAAAAAGTTGCTCAGTCAATATGCAAAATATAAAATCGGTGGAGGGGTGGTGGTATTTGTTCAAGTGGAAGAGATAGAAAATGGGTCACTGAATAAGGAGGAACGAATTGATAACAAGTGTGAGATAAGCGACAAGTGCTGTCAAAGAATTGTAAAACGGTGATAATTAAGCTGAAAAGTGTACAATAGGTCAATGATTAAGGAATGAATTAATATTAAAGAGTGAAATATGGTTCAAGTGTTGTCAACAAAGTGAAAATTGGTGATAATGGTGATAATAGAAAAGTATACCAGTGAAGTGAACTGAAATCGACAAAATCAACGAAATGAATTGTTAAGGCTGTACAGCTTGATAATGAAGTTGTTGAAAAGAAATATTTCTTCGCTGATACATGCTTTGTTCTTGTTAATGAATAAATGATTATATATAAGTCCAAAAATTCTCCATTCTTTTGTCTTAATGGTAGAAAAGTGTTCCAGATATTTGCAATATGTGACGATGTATCATTCCTGCAGAATTCTGCGCATTCAACGATTTGGTGATTGGAGGCAGTGTGTTCAGGCACAAAGATATCCACAAAGTGACATGGATTTCACCAGATGGACACACTAAAAATCAAATCGACTTTATCTCAATCTCAAGAAAATGGAGACGCAGTCTACTTAACACAAGGTCAAGAAGAGGAGCAGATGTAGGTTCAGACCACTACCTAGTGCAAGGAACCTTCCAAATCAAGTTAAAAGCCTTCAAGGAAGCTGGTGATAGACCTCAACCCAAGTACAACACTCGGAAACTGAAGGATGAAACTACAAAGGAGATCTTCACGTCAGCCATCAAGACAAATGGGAGACATCGAGCAACATCCCTGAAGAAACCTGTGTGGAAGAACACTGGAAGTCTTTGAAAGCTATGTGGAAAGAAACCTGCACAACAGTATTAGGAAGAAGAAGGAAGACAAGGAATGGATCTCGACGGATACCTGGAAGCTGATAGAGGAGAGGAGGATGGTGAAGCAGAAGATAAACCAGTGCAAGGATGCTCAACGACAAGAGGAACTGAGCACGATGTATGAAACACTGAACAAAGAAGTAAAGAAGAGTGCACGGAAAGACAAAAGACACTTCTACGAAACACTGGCAAGTGAAGCAGAACAGGCTGCAGGTAGAGAGACCTGACGACATTGTATCAAATAACCAGGTTGCTATCAGGGAAGAGACCAACACAGATGAAACCAATAAAAGATGAAGAAGGAAATTTAATTACAAAAGAAGAGAAACAGAGGAAACGATGGGCCGACCACTTCAAGAAGCTCTTGAATCGACCACCACCTGCACTTCGTCCACAAATACCACCTGCAGCCGCTGAACTACAAGTGAACATTAATCCCCCAACGAAAATGGAAGTCCTGAACGCCATAAAGCTACTGAAATGCGGGAAAGCAGCAGGACCAGATGGAATACCGCAGAAGCACTGAGAACAGATGCAGAGACAACAGCGGCCATGCTCACACCACTATTGCAGAAGGTGTGGAAGGAAGAGAAGGTACCGGACGATTGGAAGAAGGGTTACCTTGTCAAACTGCCGAAGAAGGGAGACCTCAGTGCTTGCAAGAACTGGCGCGGAATCACTCTCCTGTCCACCCCAAGTAAAATATTAAGCCGCATCATCCTGGAGAGGCTTAAAGATGCACTGGATTCAAAACTACGACCGAACAGGCAGGCTTCAGGAAGTACAAATCATGTGCAGGCCAAATTGCAACGCTTCGTATCATCATAGAACAGAGCGTAGAATGGCAATCACCTCTCCACCTCAACTTCATCGACTTTGAGAAGGCCTTTGACAGCGTCGACCGAGAAGTAATTTGGAAACTGCTTCAATACTACGGAGTACCGCAAACCTTTATCCGCCTCATTCAACAACTATATGAAGATGCCACATGCCAAGTAATCCACAATGGGAAGCTCAGTGATGCCTTTGAAGTGAAGACAGGAGTGAAACAAGGTTGCCTACTATCCCCCATGATATTCCTTATTGTGGTGGACTGGATCATGCAGCAAACAGTAGGCAGCGAGAAGAGGGGGATACACTGACGACGGAAAAGAACCTAGAAGACTTGGATTTCGCCGATGACTTATGCCTAATGTCACACAAACTTGAAGATCTGCAGGCAAAAACTAACAAGTTGATAGAAGAGGCAGCGAAGACGGGACTTCAGGTGAATATAGAGAAGACAGAAGTGATGAAGATACCGCACCACCACCATCAACAACAACAACAAACTCCAATCACCGTCAACGGGAGAAACTTAAAGGAAGTAACCTCCTTCACTTATCTAGGAAGCACTGTTTCAACTACAGGCGGGACGGACGAGGACGTCAAAGTGAGAATCGGAAAAGCAAGACAGGCGTTCATTAGCCTGAAACCAGTGTGGAGATCTTCTGCACTCAGCATGCGGAACAAGATACGGATTTCAACACCAACGTCAAGTCAGTGCTCTTGTATGGCTCAGAGACTTGGCGCGTCACGAAAGGTATTTCCAATAAACTACAGACATTCATCAACAACTGCTTACGCTGCTCGCTGCTGAAGATCAGATGGCCAGAAAAAATAAGCAACAAGGAACTCTGGGAACGAACCAACCAAGAACCTATCACGCAACAAATATGCAGGAAGAAGTGGAGATGGATTGGGCATGCACTGAGAAGGCCGACTGAGGACATCACGCGTCAGGCCAGTCGCTCGAGTGGAATCCCCATGGGAAGCGACGAGTTGGACGTCCAAGGGTGACATGGAGGAGGTCGTGCGAGCAGGAAATGAGAGGTTGTGGGCTGTCGTGGGACCAGGTTCAAAAGATCTCAGAGAACAGAGGTCACTGGAGGCGTGCTACTGAAGCCCTATGTTCCACTAGGAACCCAAGGGACTAATAATAAATAATAATAAATCATTCCTGCTTTACCTGTGTTAGGTGTTGACTCAGTGAACAAATATTGAGGAATCAATCTCTCCTTCCACCTAGCTATATTGGATTTTAGAATTGTCACCTTATCGCACCCACTCTGTAGTGTGATTATGGGGGAGTGCATACAAACCCATAGCCGGGTTTTTCCTTAAGTCTCTCGTTTTAGTAGGGTTTACTATTGTATTTTTAGCTAGACTTTTGTGCTCCACTAACCCCAGTCGGCTGTTTTGACCCATATACTTGACCTCACAATCATTGCATGGTAGGTATTTGACATTAAGTTATTTTGCCCTATTGAATCTTCCAGTCTCAGTTTATCTCTGAGTGAGTCTGTGGGTTTTAATGCCATCTCAATCTCAGTAGTGTAATAATACTACATAGAACTGCCAATGCGCCTTCTTTACATGGTAAAACGCTCTGGAGGACTTGAATTCCCACTTGGGTATGTCGCAGTTCCCAATAATATTAGCGCTCCTTCTTTTATGAGTCCTTATAAACCTTTCAATAATTTCCGGAGGATAGTTATTCAGAAGTAGTGTCTCTTCAAGGTGTTTCACTTTCTTATTAGGTTGCTTTACTTACTCGTTAAACTCCTAGCCTGACTACTGAAACGTTTTATCAAGCCTACCTTAACAGACAAGGGGTGACAGGATGTGAAATCTAAGTATGTATTAGAATGTGTTGGTTTTCTATAAACGCTTCTCTCCTCTTGATTTTGCAATTCAATATAGGTGATTTTTCTTCTTCATTTTCTAATTCAGTAGTGAGTTGGATTACATCTACTATCGAGTTAACGTGAGCAAAAAGTCTCGATATGCCATTATTTCAACACAGCAGATGTGTCACCTGCATATCAAGAGAGGCTTTGAGTCTCAGTGGGAACACCACCAAACACTCGGGGTGCAGGTACATTCAACTGACGAACCACAAACAAGACGAAACGCGCATCCTGGGTCTCACTGCTAGCCATCAAGCATATTACAACGCAGTGAGTAATCAAGCAGTATTGACGCATCCAGATAGGAGCCTATCTGACAACATAGGCACAGCAGTTCGACCAAGTATAGAAATGGGAATCCACAAGTGTTCATAAACAATCCAATATGGAATTATACTCTATCATAGTCCCCAAGTTTTACTGTTACATCAAATCTAAACTACAATAGATGACAACTGCGAATAGCTCCAGTGTCCCAAGTAGTATAGCAACGGCCGAATGGTAATACAAATTAGACGAGATGGTATTCAATAAAAATGACAATCATTAACACCTACAGAAGATCCAAGTCACAAGCTCACCTGTAATAAATCCAATTGTACACGTCCATCAATATTGACAAATTTATTCTCTCTACGACCCATTTGTTTCGATTGTACCATTGCTTCACGTACAGTGGAACGTGCACCTCGAATACGACCAAGGAATGCAAAACTGTCAACTTTAAGATGGTTAGCACGATTGATAAGATAGGGCAAATCAAAGTTCTGTATATTATAGCCGGTTATAATATCCGGATCAACTTCACGTACAAACATTGCCCAATTCTGTTCGAATAAGAAAAGATGAGAGATACAAAAAAAACAATAACACAGAGGATTCACAAGAAAGGATAGAAAATGTTGAACCCGATATAAAAGTGCTGTTTCCGGCGACTGCCACCCTTTTCCATCGAACAGATGTGATAACAGACGTAAAAAGATGCTAAAATAAAAGAGTAGGATACATCACAGTCGATTAAAGTTCAGTTTTAAATTTCTGTTACGGCGTGTAACGATCAACCTGAGATTTATAGGCAGGGATGAAATGAAAGAGAAAATTCGTGGCTGAAATAGATAATCTTGGTTGTGTTGGAATACTTGTCACCTATCCACACACCTTCAGAGTAGCACAGTCTGACCATAGCTGCTACCTTGAAGTGGTGATAAGGATTGCTTATCACGATGATCCAATAAACTATGCTGGTGGAATGCTTGTCATCCCGAGGCCGTATGATACCGTAGAAGTCAGTTGAGTAGTGGTGAGATAAAAAGCTGCAAAAATCACAGTGTATATGATAGGGGTCCGAAAGTGAATTCGTTCTGCTTGTTTGACGGGGTATGACAGCACTAAGGTGTTTCCTGCGGACATATAGAAGTGTCAAGGTGCCCCCCCATGGGAATCGGGGGGAAAGGGATTGGAAAACGTAGATAGTAAACAGAAAACACCCCTCTACTCACTGGCATACTGATGCCGGAGATATGCTTTCATAAACGCACTCGAGAAAAACAAATTAAAGCCTCAAGCAGGTGTCCCTTGATCTCTGTGGTCAAGCTGTAACTCCTCACTTTTAAAAATCTCAAGAAAAACTAGCTAACGATATATATATATATATTCACGTAGCTTTTCAAACACAAAAGATAACTTTTAGCCCATGGTCACTGATTTAAACCTCGGTCGGAGTAGTATTTAACGTTGGAGAGTTATACTCCAATTTTCGGCTCATTTCCCAGTTCCATTTTCATGGACGTCATTACTCAACAACCTGGGGGATCAGTCCACTAACCGAGCAAAAAACATGATAGCAACGCATCCGAAAGAAAACGAATACTCCCTGAAAACTGATCAATGATTCTTAAAGCCTTCCAACTGTCGGGCTTCAACGAATCCATGTTCGCCGGGTATTCGAGTCGTTGACCGTACTAATCTCCCTGTGGGAAGACGTGCGTGAGATGCGTCTCATTGAAGCGGCGACAACTGTGTAGACTTAGGTGAACCTCATGTCCCCGGAAGATTATTTCCCTTTCATCAAAATCTCATTAATGGGAGGCCACCCCCAGACCACTTTCAAGACCAAGGCTACAGTGGAAAGACACCTGGGATTCCGGACCAAATACCATCCATCTTCGCAAAGCTAACCCCACCACCCGTCTTGCGACTGCCTCAACAAGTGATTACTGAAACCAGGAAGCTGGATTTCCTTAACATTCGGTTGCACTGCTGTGAGCACACTGGGCGGAATGGCCATTTGGCCAACTTGTGCTTTAGAGACCAGCACCACTGATCAAACCATATGGATCTCGTCGACCACTATTATCGTTAAGTCAACTCTGATGGTGTACTGGTTGAAATCCAAAGAGACTGAGAGAAAGCTCACCATCGTTGCATAAATAGGCAGTAATTACCGGTGCATTAATCGCCTCCAGTTTTCCTAGCCAGGAGCGCAAACACCCACGCCATTTAGCTGTGCCGTGCAGAGCTTCTTCGCGTTGAAGCCCTGGCATGTAACTATGCAGAGGGGGGGGTGGGGTTGGATGCATTCAAGAGTCTTAGTTACTCCCGCCCCGACCAAGGTATGATCTAACGTAACTATCACATTGTAATCTGTTCCTTACGCTACTGAATTGCATAAGGCAGCTAGATACCACATCATACTCATTTATAGGTAATGTCAGTAGGCGATTAAAGCACCTAATCTTCAATTCATTTCTCTTAACACGACGCTAATTACTGGTATAAGTAGCTAAACGCATTTCTCTCAGACAAAGGCACCATGCAAACCAACTGTAATGGATAACCAGAATTGGGTGAATTGGTGATGCCAAGGGAAGTATCAACAGATTTCAAATGATAAAAGTCATGCCGAAATTTCTAACAACTGACTAGTATTTTCAAGTTCAACCTTGGCGCTAACATAGCTTATATTGAGAAGCATTTTAGTAGTTTGTCTTGAGTAAAATTTCATGAACCAACGAATATACTAGTAAACGACTTGAATATCACTGACATCAAGAAACAAAATTCATCAAACTGACTCAAGTAACGAATCCAAGCACTGATAAGATAGCGTACTTACTTGTAAAAACTCAATTCACTGACACCTTTTTACAGTGGTTTTCAACAATAACATTCGCAAAAGAGTCGATAAGAAAAATAAAACACTGAGTACCGTGTTTTCCGAAAAAAGAAGATATTTCACACCTGACAAAGTTTGCAGACAATTCAGCTTTAAATTGATATTCATCATGGAGTGGTATCAGTTGGAGAAATACTGAAAACTTCAGAGCACTTGACAGCTGTTTCTTGTCCTAGTATGGGGCTCCTCAGCAGTGTGCACCCATGACAGTACTAGGAATCGATCCGAGGACCTCCAGGTTCCGCGGCCGGCACGTCAAAATTGAGCCACTGGGGCGACGTCTAATGGTCCAGATTTCTTACTACTGTTAGTTCACAATATAGAGCGATCTCCACCCAGTGCCGTCATTGAGTAGCTGTCATCATGTTCAACTTAGTTGCCCCCCCCCCCCCCGGTGATGAATATCACCATAATAAATATCAACCTGAAATCAATAAAGAAATTCCTACAAACCTTGGAAATGAATTACTCTCTAGGGCTAATTAGCGACCAGTTTCAAGATGAAACTCCTGAATTTTTAATGAGAAGTCGAGACTGGTGGCGCCAACCACGTCGGATCTGAGGACAGTTATTCAACGATGGCATTGGATGGAGATCATGCTATATCGTGAACTGACAGAAGTAGTGAATATGGATCATTGGATACCAACTCAGTGTTTCAAGCGCAACGTGCTGGCCACGGAACCTGAGGGTCCAGCGTTCGACCCTTGGCGGATTGGGGTCATGGGTGCACACTGCTAAGGAGTCCTGCACTAGGACAAAACGGCTGTCCAGTGCTTCCGGTTTCCAATGTTTCTCCAAATGATGTCAGTCCATGGTGAATAACAAGCAGAAATCAATAAATAATCCCCACAAATCTCCAAATTGAACTCACTTCTAACCAAACAACACACTGAAGTGCTACCCTAATCTACCAAACCCCTTGAGGGAAAATATGTGAATTAACGACCACGCACACACACAGTGAAATATACCAAAGATGCATGGACAAAACTGATATAATGTGCGAAAAGATTGTCCAGACCGTCCTAAGAAGCCTTAAATCCCTGGAAGCTTTCACAGCCAATCCTGTGGCTCCGAAGTTTCGAGAAAAAGCAAGTGAACAAGCATATAAATAGCAGATTGGTCAGAGGCGAAATCAATAAACTGTTGTATTTTGCAGATATCTTGGTGTTGGAATACACCGTCTTCAGTTATCTTACCGGCTTTTCCATTTTACAGAGGAACTGAGCAACCACTAAGTGTTCAAGTGTCCACTCTCACACACATATAAACAAATAATCAAGGATATAACAAGTGGCGACAGGTTTTAACAAACTGAAATACAAGAAAGGTGTATTAAACAAAAGTTAACAAACTCACAGCTAACAACTCTTGTTCAGTTTTATGACAGATTACTTGAGAGCCAACAATAGGTGCACATGTATTCAATGTGAATACATTACGAATAAATGGTGTTGTCTCACCATAATTAATAACCATATTGGCTATTTGTATCACTGAATCTTTATCTGGTACAGGGAATATACCTTGTGGAAAGCAAAAAAAAGATACGATTAACAATGATTTAAGAGAAGGGCATGGGGAAAGGGGATACAACAATGTTATTCCGTATACAGGACCAATCGTTGTTAGGTTTTCGTCTAGCATGGAGAGACTCAGTTATTAATTTACTCGATCCAATGAATGTTTTCTCCACTAGATTGTCCTGATAAGAGTTGGATCAGAAGTACACAAGTGTGTTCGTTGTCTGACGATCAATATTCTTACATGGTCAGGTAATTCAAGAGCGAAATGGGTTATACCAGTGTTTTAAGAGATGAATGTCAATCTTAAGACCTCTTAGAGACGGCAATATTCCCTTGTTTTTCTTGCTTACCTATGGTACTTTTTGATCTTTTTGTTCGCGCTATTTTCTCTTGTATGGGCTACATTTAATAAGACCTGTCAGTTTTCTGATTGGTTACTGCATCTTTTGATGTACTGGTTTTCTTGTCTTTTAAGGTCACTGCAATTCTTTGTATAAATTGTCAGTTTTTACTAATACATGTTTTCAGTTCAAGACACTATAAACTCAACTGAATGTCAGTCTTCTGATTTCACTCTGTAAATCACCCAGGTTGAATTCTATCGATCTTTGGACTATCTGTCGTGATTATTCTTGATTATTCTAACAAACTTCGCATCACATTGGTGGCGAAAGGATTGGTTTTTAGTAATGAATGTGACTAAAGTTTAACTTTTGTTGGAACAACGATTGAAGCTCATCGAAATTTCGACTAGTCGAATCTAAATGCCATCAGCAACTACGTACAAATTCCTGTAGTAGACAATGGGCCATATCTAGTGTGTGTGAGAGCTAATGGTACTGCGATCCAGCTGCTGAGTTCGAACCCCCACACCGCTGCTTAGAAACAAACTATCCAGAGCAATAAGCTAAACAGCCCCATTGAACCAGAGAAGAAAACCAAAATAAAAAGGGGAGAATGTATGCAACAATTTACAAAAATACCTTTACGACTTGCACATTCAATATCAAAGCTGAGTACACGAAATGGTGCAATATTACTCCATTGACCATCAGGTGGATGAATAATTAAACCATCCCATGCAATATCGAATTCAATTTGACACCGTGTATGACCAGTTAACAATGATGATTTTGTTGAACAAAGATTATCTTCAATACCATTATTATTTGTAGAGTGATTAGCAGTACCGTATATTGAATTGCCAGAAGTTGATTTCTTATTCGATGTTTTAATATCTTCTGTCTTCTGTGTAGAATCTCTTAACTTATACTTGCCAGCAGGTGCTTCAACCCAACTACATCCAGTCATTTGTGTATCCGTCATAAAACGTATCTCAAAGTCAATATTTGCTTCAAAAGCTGAGTACGACTGCAGTCAACATTTAGAAAGAGAAAATAAAGATGTTTTACTTTTGTCGTCTGTTCATTATAAACCATTGTAGATAACAATGAAGAAAGCGATATATTTACGCTGTAATATAAGAAATGGAACTTATTGTGACTTCTCAGTAATGAAACACAAAAGGAGGCGTGAGGCGAAGGAATTTTCCAGTCGGTGTAGCTGATTTTTACGCCTAATTCTGGGTTCATCTGGTGGCTGGCGTCCATTATTCTAAGAATTCAATTCGGATCACTGTGTGATCAAATTTCTCCACAGTTAAAATCCTTCCTAAACATGGACCATATATCTCTTAATTAATTAGTTGACAAGAAACAAGCAATAATGTAGAGAAGGATGAACACTGTCAAGTTCTTTGCATCAACTAATATTATGGCGTGCTCTTCAAAGGTGTGCTAAGATGGACAGACGAATACAAACCATTGAGGTAACTGGTCCTAGGTCATCCAGTTAAAATGACTATGGAGATGGAGTAACATCCTACATCTTAACACATTAAATGTGTCTTACAGCCTAACATAAAGAGTTAAGTGTTGCAGTATGTATTCATCAGGATGAATTAGGTTAACGAGCTACACACACTGAAATCTCAGCGAGACAGACAAAATCAACGCAGAACCTCACACAGGTGCATCGACTTAAGTTGTCACACTTCACAGTAGAATACAAAGAACAAGTGGGTAGAAAACGAGTACACAAAAGTGCACGGAAGAAGAGACAGGAAATAACTGAAAGTTGTTAGTGATGATGCTCAGACTTTTGAACATTAAAGAGTGAATACATTTGCGTCATTTTAACCAATTTCTAGTCATGTTTCGATTCCTGTAATCTCAGGGATCTAAACCAGACAGACATACATGGTTCAGGACAACTGATGGAAAGTATTAATGTGGTCATCTTTAGCCTTTATCTGATACAATCCTACTCCAGCTAACAGCATACGCAACATATTTCTAAACTCTAAGTCGGTGAAGGTTCACAACCTCATCGACTAACTTACCTGTTAAGAATAAGCTAGTCATTTCAACATTTTTAGTAAATGGACAGGAAGTGTAAGCCCTTTTAGATATCAGTATAATATCTGCTTGTTTATTTACCAAATCTTCGACTCTATCTAGCATTTAGTCTTTGATGTCAAAGAACCAACGATTATAACCTAGTCCAGCTAAATGACCCAAACGCGCTCTCATGAGTAAATAAAATTTTAGCCCGAAGAATACAAAGAGGGTAGTACAAGAAATGAATACAATAATCGAAATTGACAAAATGACGACTCAAACGAGTAAACCTTTTGGAATCATTTACTAATCAGAATACTAACAGACATTTCAAATCATGTGATAAAATCGATAAAACTAATGAAATACAACCAACTTCAGAGTAGAAGAGGAGCAAAATGATACGACCCCATTTCTAGATGTTCTGTTGGTAAGAAGGTTAGATGCAACTCTGAAACGAAGTGTATATAGAAAGCCAACATCGAAACGTGCTTCTTTAATGCCTTACCCTTCCAATACAAAAGGAAACTGGCCAAATGTCTAGCATACCGCACCACAGCTATTTGCGCAGATGATGTTACAGAGGAAGAGTTCGCCACCATCCACGACCTGCTTAGTACAAATGGCTATCCGGCAAACTTTGTAACTAAGCGTATCAATGTTATGAAGGTTAAGACAAGAACACCAACAGTTCCTGAGAAGCGAATCTTCTTGAAGTTGGAATTCACAAGCAGTATTATCAGTGAGATCATCACACAACGCATAAAAAGAGCCTTGCAAAAAGCATTCCCAGCCGCTAAATCATTTCACATTTTCTACCTCTTGATTCTGGGAGCAAGAAATAAAGACAAACGGCCTAATTCTGCCCCTTCTATGTGCATCTATCAATTCAACTGCTCCTGTGGAGCTAGTTAAATTGGGCGTACAATGAAGCATGTACATCGTCGAATTTCTGAGCACCACCCGTCATGGTTGAACAGGCGGTAAATTAGAACAATGAAGAGCTCCATACTCGCAAACTTAGTTGACACTGGACATCAAGTGGATAGTAGAAAAGTATTCAAAACTATTCATCACATACCAATTTACCACATACATGGATTACGCATTCGCTAACTTCACATAGCAGAGGCGATTGCAATCCACCTTTACAAACATAACCTTTGTATTCAGAAGAAGTTTGTTCGATTACTGTCGTTACCATGACCGTCAACATGATGTAACGTTTAGTATTACTTTGTACATCTCTTCCGCCTTTTGTTTCTATCACTATTCGTTTGTTTTCTTATTATTAACTAGTTATTTATTGTTTATGACTGGACCTGCTTCATATTACCAATTTTAATTACGTTATTGATTATTTGCCTCTTAATTTCTAAAACTTATCATCTTCATGACTTACTTAAAATCTATAATTGTTGTTTATCAATCCCAAAATGCCACTTGATTGGTGTTTTGATTGAATTGTAAACCTACATATGCTAGCGTAGAGCCCAAGACGAAGACCTGAATGTCTAAATGAGAATATCCAATGTATACCGGGTGATGATTGAAAGTGAAATGAGAATTTGGACCACGACAGGATTCAAACCAGATACCACCGGCTTTCCCGCTCGATGCTCTGCCGGCTGAGCTACGAGGTCCGACTGCTGACCAACTTTTCATTTCACTTCAATCATCAAGGGTTTCGGCCAACTACCATGTGAATTCGTGACACATTATTACCGCTTGATCGTATTCACACTGGCTGCCTGGTCAGGATTTCTCGTCCCAATCCAAATTTAACTGAATCAGAGAGGGGGAAGATCATATTGATCATCATTTCACCTTCAATCGTTACCCAGTATAAAAACTGGTCTGTCAAACTACGGCTTTCTCAGATAGTCAAGTGATAATATTCAATATACTGAAATACCATAGCCAATGTCAGGCAAAGCGTAAAATTATTATCTCAATATCGAAACAGTCAGTGTTATTGGGGAAATGGAGATCAAATCAAGTGAGTGTAAGTTCTTATCAATCATGTGGAATAGTAATCAGTCTAGTGGGTTAGTTGTGCAATGAAATCAATATGTACAAAACAATTACGAAATAAGCAAACGAAATCTAACAATAATGACTCTTTTATAAACATCTACCTGGGGCATGAATGCATTTTTTTTTTACTACGGGTCTAATAATCATTATGTAGCGATGAGTTATATTCAAGTAGGGTGAAAAATCATGTGAATACAATAACGAAATAATAAATGTGAAGTGTTACGTAAGAGTTAGAAATGATTGCTGATAATGGTATACAGTGACATTAAGCTAATAACAGGGAAGTGAATGTTTATCAATTTAATGACAGAGATGATGTAGACGAAAGGGGTGGGAAGTAAAAGTGTGAAATTTGTGGTAGGAACGTTTACAAAGAACATGTTGACCCTATTGTGAGTCAAGGTAGACAACATATAGATCAGGTTGTCTTGTGTTGATACTATGGCTTCAGGTACGGATAAGAGGCGCAGTCGGGTTCTGTTGGGGAAGGCTGAAAGAGATACGATATATCACAGAAAAGGTGTGATCTGCCTTACTTCAAAGTCTGATAACTAACGAATACAAGAAGAGTGGACTGTTGATGTACTTTGTCATTCCTTTCCCTAACCAAGCTGGTACATGTTCATGTGCACGCATGCATAGAGTCCCTTGAGTATAGCCTATGTAATTGTACTATTCAATATTGATTCCATTGAACAACTAATAAACTAGACTAATTACTATTCCACCTGATAAAAACTCACATCCATTTGACTTGGTCTCCGCTTACCCATAACACTGACTGTTTCAGTATTGAAGCCTTACACATTGGTTATTGTATCCCACTTATTCTTATGGATCTATAACTGTAAAGTTTGAAGAAGTTGTTGGAAAAAAACTGTTCACTCAAATTATTCTTGTTCTGAATAATCTAGAGAGATCTTTAAATTATTAATGAACGAATCAAATTATGAACAGCTTATGAAGGAATAAAAAGAGGATTATAGATGATGTCTTTTGAACACAATATGACGTGCCTATCAGAATCTATACCTGATATCGTCATGGAGGAATTTCAGATACAAGCCTTCTTCAAACTTTGTGCAAGGTCTATTGACTAGAACTAACTCGCATGGTCAAACTATTCCTCTTAATAAATTAGTAAACTTGGATTGCAGCAGGACACGGAGCAGCGACCACCGGGTTTCCTGCCCGGTGCTCTACCAACTGTTGAGAAGATTTTTACTTCACTTCAGTTACCAAGGATTTTGCCCGACAGTCAGTGTGAGTACGATCGAGCGGTAGTAACGCATCACGAGTTCACATGGGAGTCGGGAAAAACCCTTGGTTGATTGAAGTGAAATAAAAATCTGGTCAGAGGTCAGGTCTCCTAGCTCAGTTGGCATAGCACCAGGCCGGAAACCCAGTGGTCGCTGGTTCGAATCCTGCCACAGCCCTAATTTCCATTTCATCTTCAATCACTACCCAGTATTAATACTATTCTGCCAAACCACGGCTACCTCAGATAGTCAAAATAGATAGAATAGGGAAATTCTTACAAAATATCATGTCTGCTATTACTTTTTATGATTAAAGGTCAACAAATACTTAAACTAACCTGTAGTGGATAGTTAGAAAATGCTAAACCATTGTCTAATATACGTTTGGCTGGTGCAATTACACGTGGCAAAGCCACAGTAATACGTAGAAATGGTAGACTACGATTTCCATGAAAACCATAAACATCTATAGATAGTGAAGACAAAACAAATAAAATATCAAATCGTAGCGGTAAGAATCACCCGCATATTAATAACAATGTCTCAGTCACAGGTAAATGTGTGGAATGGCGTAACATTTTAAACACCACACTGTCTGTATGTGAGGGTAACCTGTAAAGTCGGTTCTATATCCCAGATTTAAGAAGTCGGTACCATCGGTAAGAGATCAGGATGTCCAAACTGTTTGACATATAACGGATACATACGATCACTATTTCGGATACTAGATAAAGAGTTCTAGAGCATATAGAAAACAACAGTTTTCGTCTCATTCAGGCGAAATGAACATGTGCCCAAGTTGCCACACCTCACATACTAAGCACATTCGATTATCATGCAGCCCTCAACCGGAAAGCCTACGATCCTCTACACGGCACAGACCAACAACCAAAGACCTCATGCAATGATGCTACGTATTAGTTTGGCCGCCTCTAACGTTTGTTCAGCCTGAACCTACTCCAGCTAACATTTTGTGGTGAGACAGATGACAACTAAGTATGCGTAACATATGGCCCAGGCACATCAGTTAATGAAGGTTCACAACGTCATCGAGTGACTTTCCTCTCCTCCCTAAAACTCTACACCTGACTACTGCATTATCGACGTGGTGACACCAAGATATACGATACGAAAGCAACGGCGATCGAACACCTGAAGGCGCACCACTTTCTCTACCTTTAATGGCCGCGTTTGACAGGTATGCAGTAGAAAAGAGCAAACTGCAGCGCAGTACACTACGCTCTTAATATCGCGGCTGCGCCATTAGTGGCATAAGTTGACGAAGGCCGATCGAGCCTTTTGTATCCATGCAGAGATTTTTTCGGTCACTGAGTCACCTAAGCTGATCCAACTTCTCAGGTAGGTGAAGTGTTTAACGCACTCGAATATTTCACTCTCTATTGTTAGATGAAACGACTACACCGACCAGTCCTTGAGCAACAACTTGTATTTGGGTGATGCGAAACGTATTCCAAACATTCTAAGTTTGACTTTCAAGGTGTTCAGTAGGTTCTATATATTGTCAGCATTTTCAGCTACCAAGACTATGTCATCTGCATACTCCAGGTCTTCTAAGGAGTCTCTTGTGACAAGTTTGATCCTTTTGAAGTCAAACGACAAGTTCAAGTTCTCATCCTACAAATCGGAAATAACTGAGTACAAGTGGTGGTGATTCAATCTTTAGGTAGAGAATAAAAGTTACAACTGAAGCAGATGAATAAACAGAAAGATAAAACAGTCTCGAAGCTCGACAAGAAAAATAACAGTTCAAAGTGATACAAAAGAAAAAAAACAACAGAAGTAGAATGATATTAAAGATAAGTGGGAAAGGATGTAAGGGGTGGAAAAATTGCATAGCAGTTAACTAGTCAAAGTGGGCCACGGCGATGACCTTGACGCAGGTCACATAGTGAATCAGTTCGGTTTCTGTACAACTTTCTCCGTCATTCTTTTATTCAAGAAATGTGGGATTTGAGATAAATATTTACAACTTTGGGTCGTGGACATCTCCACCCACCATTTACTTCAACGATTGTAAGTTCACATCACTCAGTAAGTTACTTGCGTTACTGAAAATTTCGCTTCCAACCTCATCATCACTCAACCGTCAGTTAGACAGTAAGCATGTTTCTATATAAAGACACTAGTAAGCCCGCACCGTTCAAAGAAGTCTCTGATTCATTTTCTTGGGACTATGGGACCGCTAAAAAAGTATTTCGAATAGTGCACGCTAACCAAATCAGAATGGCAAACAAACGTGACTGCTGAAATGAAGTATTAACAGTTATTTCAGAGGGAGGGGGTGATAAGGATGGGCATAGAGAGGTGAAGCAGTTTGCAACCTAACCTAATGAGGACTATTCATAGACAGACAAAATCAAAGTACAACCTGGCATACAAGTGCATCGATTCAAGTTGCCACACTTCGCCGTGGTATGCAAAGAACAGGTGCATAGAATAAGAGTGACATCAAAGTAGACAAAGTTGTATCGCAGTAGAGAAGAAAAAATTTGAAGATAGAGGTTAGTGTGAACATTCAAACTTTAGAAGACGTCAAAGAGTAAATACATCTGCTCCATTGTGACCGATTTTTAGACATGTCACTAAGAGTCCTCAACCCAATGACTCTTATCGTCTCGGAGACCCCAGCCAGGCAATCTACATCTCACACGGCTCAAACCAACAAGTGAGGGGCTTCATCGACTGGTGCCAGATCTTTGTCTGACCACCCTGAATCCCCGTCCAGCCTAATCCGACGTCCACAAGCATGGCACGTTGAAGTAGGCAGTGGCTCAGGATGCGCGGTACATGTCAAGCCATCTCAGTGACTAAAGTTTACAACCCCATCAATCAGCTTACCTTTCTTGCCTAGTATACTTCTCCTAACCTCAAATTACTCACACGGTGATTCCACCATACGCGGCCAACGGTGAGAAGACACCTATGATCAAAAACCTGTAGTCGCTTCATATATTCCACTTTTAACAGCCGTATAACAGGACAGAACTAATTGGAGCGTAGTATATTAGTCCTTTGACAGATTAATCAGTCAAAGATTTTGCCTGAAGACCATTCATGCTCGAAAATAAATCAATACAACTGAACAATGTTCAAATGACAATCAATGAGACTTACTTTGTTTATTTTCACATGTAACCATAAGTACAAGATGATGTAATCCTTCAAATTCTTTTGTTTATTCTCTTTTAACAGTGCAGAGTTCAACGCTTCACGAAATCATTTAAATGACTAGGTGAAAAGTCTTTCGGTGCTGGAACATAAAAATATGGTACAAAACCATGTACATGTGCACAAACACTATGACCATTTTCAGTAACACCAAATAAGCGGATAATTGGCACAGGACTATGAGCAGCTCCAGGCATACCAGCCAAACGTTCACCCTAAAAAGAGTGTATTAGAAAGATTATTAGATTCCCTGGAATGGGGTCTCATTTTCCCTTATAATGAAAACCTTTGGAACTCGAGTTAGTTGAATGCAACTGGAAGTTAGTCAAGAGTGCAAGAGAGAAATTCATTCCCATGAAGTGTTATCATCCAAATAAGTAGTTTCATAACCGCCAAACATAAGTCAATCAACCAATCAATATGAACATATGACCAGGTATTACTGTGTAATAGTTCAAGTTGCCATCGAAATCTCACATCAGCATAGCAATTAACAAACTAGTAAGATGAAATATGAAGAATCGGTCAAAAGCAGTAGAAAGTAGTAAAAAGGAAGTAGGAGGAATGAGAAAATGCTGAATTCAGTATGGCGGTCAAGTTGAAGACAATGTATGGATACACTGACATAGATTCTGAGCCATATCACCTAGAGTCCGCAACCACTGGTTTCTGTTGTTATGTTAACCCGAACTGGCTAGCCTGTATCTCCATACATGGCTAAAACCAACAGTCAAATATTTCATGCAATTTAAAACCATAAATTCGAGCAAGATGTTTAACCTATTTCACTTATAATTTCTAGCTAGTTAGAGCGATATTCATCAACTTCAGTCCAAGGTTGCTGAGTGCACTTCAACTACGAACAGTTACAAATTTAACACATACAACAGACATCGATCACATGCGGTATTGGATAAATAGAGGCATTGGACACATGTACGAATGATGATTGTCAAGTTGTATGCATGCATATGTGAACATGCAGGATAACTTTTCTGAGTCAGTTTGAATGGCTTCCAGGACTGCCTGTAAAAGGATTGGATTTCTGCAGGGTACCTGAAGGAGATTTGTGTGACCACAGAACCCATGGGACATCCTACCTGAGGCATGTTACATACAAACTTTTGCGGGTTGTTGTCTTCAGATATGGTTGTTTTAACGCCAGAGAGAGAAAACCAGAAGACCGTAGGACAAGGAGGAGTGTGCTATTTTGGGGTCACCTTTTCTAACCTCCCCTTCCTACAGGGAAAGAAGCATCAGTATAGTACTGCTCGTCATCCGTGGGAAACATCTTACTGCTGTCACACCACATCCAACCAGCAGTAAGACTTCACCCTCGGACCTTCATCATATTGTCGTGATTTGCATTACAAAGGTAGCCGTTTTTCGTCTTACTACTACCCAATAGACTTTTCTGTGCAATGCTGAGGCGTCCATTCTAAGATGAAACAGTTGTCTAGTGATCCCAGGTTTCCAATGTTACTCTCTAACTGATGTCAGTTCATGATGAATACCAACCTGATATTATTTGTTTATTTAGAAACTGCCTAGACAGTTTTCCCTTTGACCCTTATTTAACAACTCGTTGTGGAAAGCAAATACGTGCCAGTCTTGCTTTAATGCTCGATATCGAAAAAAAATTGAAATCCACTCAGCAACTTTATGCACATTCGTGCAGAAGGCAATGAACTACACCTGTTGTGAGGGCTAATGGTACTACTTGGTTGTTCAAACCTCAGTAGGTGGGGCTGGATTTGAGAACTCATGACCCGTCGGTTGAAAACCAAGTGCCTAAACCCATGAGCCACCGTTCTATGAACATATATTAGGCGGAGTGCAGGTATATAGCTTACAAAACCCAGTGAGGTTTAATGATATCGGTTCAAATCTCTGCGGTAGCATGAATGTCTTCAAAATTTGGATGTTAATTGTTAACGAGCATGAAAAATAGGCTAAAGACTTTCTAAAGTTTCTTCCAGTTGAATCGTAGACAACTTAATAGCATTTAGGTAGCACCAGGATTAGAACCAGTGAACATTCGAGTTGAAAATCGTGCCGCCGGCCAGACCTTTATTTCACCCTCAATCACCAGCGCATATCAACAGTGTTAGACTACTAAACCATACGGTCATACTGATAACAACAGCATCTATCAAACGGATCAGAATAATCTTATCATCTGATATATCCATTCAATGCTAGTTCAAAACGTAAATTGGTAGCATAAATAATATAAAATAGTGAGTGAACATGCACTTGTGTGTATACTTAGGTGAGTTATTTAGTGAGTAATTGTGACTGATATTAGAAGTGATAAACGACAACATCAAAAAAGAAAATCCAAACTTAAACCAAAAGAGGGATGAAAAAAAGAACGAGAAGACTACACTACTGTTATCAATCATTTCATCACTAATATATAATCACAATACCTGGAAATATAAATGATCAATTTCCTAAAATAAAACAAAAATGAGTTAAGAAAAAAAGTTAATATTGTTATAATCCTTTTGAAATTTCATTTACTGCTAAATCTTCATGAGGACAAATACTCAACGATGACATTGGATAATGGTCGCGCTATGTTGTGAACTGACAGAAGTTGGAAATATGGATTCCTACCCAGTGGCTTAATGGTAACGTATTGGCCACGGAACTGGAGGGTTGCGGGTTCGATCCCTGGCAGGATCGTGGGTACGCACTGATGAGGAGTCCCATACTGGGGTGAAACAGCTGTCTAATGCTTCCAGGTTTCCAAAGTTCCTCCAGCTGATGTCAGTCCGTGATGATTACCAATGTGGAAAAAAATATTCATCAAGTTGTACATGCGCTAACACTATGTGGGATTAGCTTTTATGTGGTAAACAAAAAAAACTAAACAGAACTCTTTACAGCGTTGAATTCTTCATTATGGACAAAGTTGTTGCCTGTGTTTACGATTTTCATGTGTGATGATGTGGTTTTCATAACAAATGAATGACAAGTGTTTATTTTAAAAATGATGAAAAGAGATTTGTATAGCTAAGGATGAGAATGATGTTTTGGTATTCTCTGAACTTTGATATTCTTTTGTCGTGTGTTCGAAGAAAAGTTACTCTGGAGTGGAAGTTCTCCGACACACGAAGTTCTTTCATTTCCAAGCACAGAGAAGTGTGTTACAGAGAGACAAAATCAACGTAGAACTTTGCACACAACTACGTCGGTTCAAGTTGTCACACTTCATAGTAGTACAGAAAACTGATATCAAAGTAGACAAAGTTGTGTGAGAGAATAAGTAATCGGAGATAACGGTCATTGAAAATATTCAAGCTTTAGATGCCAAAGAGTGAATATATTTGCGCCACTATGACCGATTTTCAGCGATGTCACCAAGATTCCTTAACCACTGATTCCTATTATCTTGCAGACTTTAGTCAGGTAGTCAACATCACCCACACGGCTCAAACCAACAATCGGGGACTTCATCGACTGGTGCCACGAAGCGCGTTGAGCTCAAAAGATTTTGAAATGATGGAAAAGATTTGTAGCCCGACAATACATAAAGGCTCAGACAACATATCAAACCACCAGTTATTTTTAAAACTGTAGGATGCATATTACACGGCGTCTAACCGATGTTGTGACATAATACGGTTTCGACAACTAAACAGATTGTAAAGTTCGTAAAAGATATCATCAAGCAAGTGCTTACTCTTATTCAAGTATCGGAACACAAAAGAAAGAAAACCCTGAAGTGACATTAAATCTTGATCTGAAACTGGCATTTGATAGCTATTCAAACAGGTTTGTGACACTTTGCAAATGACTGACAAATTGCACATCTACATTGGCATTTTTCATAGCTTAGTGGCTTTTTAACTGCCCAACCATGATGTCAATAGGCCTTCTGCAGGAAAACACTGAGTCAAGATCACAAGGTCCGATCTCTGACACAAACATGTCATGAACTAGCGAGAGATACTGCTACTGAACAACTTGAGCAATTAGAAGCCACTGAGGCTGGTATGTAGATTTCACCAGCAGGATCAGAGTGACCCAATCACCACAGACGACCGTTCCACTCGTTTTAGGCCAAGACCGTTATCGATATATCAGGACAAATTTAGATCCTAGAGCCGGATTGTCAAGATGGACTATGCTATTTGTGAATCATTTACAAATTGGTCATCCTATTCAAGGTATGGTTTATGCTAGTCAGCCAGCCAGATTCAGGTGATCTCATTTGATTCGTCTGCATGAGTTGAACTTGACCGGGTACATTGTTGGTGAGATGGCTGGGTCCGAAACGAGCGAAACAGCCGTCCGGTGATTAGATCACTCTGATCTGGCTGCTTGGAGAAATCTACAGATCAACCTGAATGGTTTCTGGCTACTCAAGTTGTTCAATAGTATATTTCGCTAGGCCTGCAAACACATCCATGAGTGGGACGTTGATAACAGCTTTTTTCTTGAAATTATGCCACCCCATGAGAGCTAGTGGAATTGTCATGTACGCGAACAACAACCAAGTATTCATTACAGAAGTTTGCTGTCATCACTTCAATTCAAATTACATATGAGACCTGTTAGTGTGGTAGGTAAATTTTCAGGTTAAACCTTTTAGTTGTCCTCTAAATCAAAGACATCCTGAACGACTTGGAACATATAGAAGATGAAATCGGGTTAAAAGAAGATATTAACAAGATGCAGTCCTTTTAACGTCTTGGGCGGGAATCTAAGAATATTTAGCATTTGTCTAGCACCAATAGGATACGACATGATACTAAAAGGCTGGTTTGCGCTGATACCTTGGTAGTAGCAATCGATGGTGGGATAGCTGAGTGTATTTACTTTATTGTTTATGTGGGAGGTTATCTCAAATAAAAACGGCTTGGGTGGCATCTACTAATCTGCATAATTTAAGGCATCATCGAAATACTTAGATGTATTATTAAGGGGTAGGGGTAATTAGCAGCTTCGCATCGAGATCGCGATCGAGAGGTCTTACGGCAGTGCCTCTCACTGAAAGGAGTACCAAGACTCTGTACTCGAACACGTTTGGGCGCGTTAGAGCTATGGCGAGTTGTCAGATGAGCTGTGTACTTTTAGTGGTGCTCGTCAAGGATGTTCACTCTCTCCATTCTTGTTCAAATTTATCATAGACGTACTGATGGAAGTCTCCCTCTCTTCGTCTGACTTCATAGGGATTCATCTTGTCACAGGAGAATCCTTGGTTGATCTACAGTTCACAGATGACATGGCTCTGCTATCTAAAGACGGTGGCAACATCTAGCCTTCTGGACACCTGGAGTGCCAATTTGAGGATGTTTGGGATGGGTTTCTCGCCTAAGGACTGGTCTTTAGAGGTGTCCTGTTTAACAATAGGGAGTGATGGTCGAGCGCTCTGACCACTTTGCCTACTTGATGATGATATTATCACACTGTCTTTACACATGACCCCCGGTTAAAAATCAACTGTCTAGATAAATGAAACAGTTCCATAAAGCAAATTGAATTAGTCTGCAGTCAAACCAAATTCCATATTCTGAACAGGATCTTTGTTACAGAATATAGCCAATAACAGGGAAATCATTTGAATTTACCGTGTAAGACGTCTTTAAACTTTTACTTGTTGCAGTATTGGTACAACAGTAGTTTGGAAACTGACTCATCATTCGTTGGTCGTGAAATTATTTCCTTGAGAACCGCTTTATTTCTATTCACATGATTATAACTGAAAGGCTGCGGCTATTACGTGTGGTTTGTATTTTATGCTCCTAAGAAGTAGAATATAGGTAAGTGGTTTCGAGACAAACATGTCTCTTAAGCTTATATCACATAAGACTATCACATTAGTTCAACAAAGCTTTTGTTAAATCAAATATTATCAACTATTAGCACCGACAGGATCTGTATTATCGATTCGGTGTAGTAATTCTAGATTTAAACCCTCATGAAGAAGCAAGAAGTCCGCTAGTATAAGTAGCAGTTTTCTCACATTATACGACAGGCTTAAATATGTAGGAAAATTATGTATTCAATCCACAACTTAAGAAATAAGCAAATGAAAGTGACTAACTTTGTAGTGTGAAACATCAAACTGCTGGAAAATTATACTGTTTTTGTTTGGATCAAGTGGCTTCAGAGTAGGTCTCGGCCAATGGGAATTTGTTAGAAAGTCCAAATGAGATATAGCTGAACTTTCATCAACCAACGCCACATCTTCAGTCTCCAAATCATCCAATAACATAAGTTCCTGTTCGAATTTTGAAGGCTCCGGTGTATCATCATGATTACCTCTGGGTAGAAGAAAAAGTAACTTTTCAGATAATGAATTTAATCCGAACTCACGGGCATGCCAATCTAAATGTTTAACGTGAAAATCATCCCACTTTATCACGACTAGAAACAATTTGTTTGTTTCAGTGTTACATTTCGCTTGAAAACCATACATTTTTGGTCTACTTTTTAAATTACGCTTTCATCTTTTCTAGAAAAATAATATGGAGTACATGAAATAACTAATTCTCGATCCAGAACCATCCAAAGACTTTGTGGTCAGAACAGTTTACAGCCCCTTAAGTGTGTATGAACAATTTGAGATGAACTAGACATCCTGAAAAGGACGATACTTGTTGTGCGTCAGTTCCCTAATTGAAGTCCATTTTAACAGCAAAGCGAACAATAACTGGTTAGAATGTCATAGCCACTTCTATTAAGGGCTGACAGTATTCTCTGCGTAAATCTAGATAGCTGAATTGGTGCCTGACTTCAAAACTTACCGGCTGAAATCAAATAATTCAGTCCCGGTATTCAAAATTGTATAGCTTCTCCACATAGAGGAGTTAACTGGTCTAGGACTGGCGGATTTCCCCATGAAGTAAGTACCAAAGTTAAATAAACCAATGATAACATGGCAGCACAGATATGTTCAAATGTTCAGCGTAAGTTTCGAGCTTAACAGTTTTGCATTCTTTATCACCTTTTATACAACCCTTAGCGACATTCGTATACACTATCCAACATAACACCGGAAGTTTTCCACAAAAATCCCGCAGTAACGTAGAGCTTACCTTGGTTTCTTAAATGAACTAGGTCCCTTTTGAGCAAGAAGAGAGGGACGTTTGTTTGACATAATTTGAAAACTTCAACTTCAACTTTGTAGTTCCGACACCGCGCACTCCTATTAGCCTTAGGAAGACCTTGAAGTCATATGTTCAAAAACTTCTCAGTATGCAGTGATTCCTATTCTCATTAGATAAGCAGTTAGGCTTCTTCACACTAATTTTCAGTCTTGCCGGACAGTTTTTAGTCTCGAATAGTTGCAATTCAAAACACTTAACCACTTTTTTGCTGTGTCAATTATTAGACTTACTCCTTGTGCGCTTTTCAAAGATTAGTTTTATTCCTTTTGATCGTTGTAGCCTTTAATGTGTGAAATAATGATAAATATAGTCTTGATAATAGACAAAAATCTGTTTCGTAGTATGGCATCAAGTTTAACTGCTGTTTTCGGATTTTCAACATGTGTTTCAATTTAAAAAGTTAGGGTAATAATTTTCCAAATCAGTTTTCTAGTTTTATTCTTGTTGCCTTCCATTAATTTTATCATAACAAGTGGATTACGTAACTGAAATGCATTTAACCACATCCAACGTCAATGGTGCAAGTCTAATAACAGTTTCAGAGGATGTCTGCGTAGTTTATCGCAGAAATGTCAGCTTCTCAGCTAAGGCGATGGGTTGTGAGCTTTTCTCTCAGTGGACTCACTGCTCCTGTGATTCCAGCCAGCCATCTGGTTATTATGAAGCACTGCTTAATAGCCCTTTTGATGGTGATTGGTATTTTTGTCCATGTTGTAGGTCCAAAAGTAAGTACCAAATAAGCCTAGAGCTAGTGAGACAGAACTCCGACCACCTTACGGCTAAGAACTCTACACAAACCAGCCTCAATCTAAAGAAGTCTCATGGCCATAAAAGATCCCTCAAGTTAGCAGTAAGGAAAGTTCCGAATTCATCACTGTCACGGACTGTCTCCCGTTAGCATGCCTTTGGTTCCGATTCCTTCTGTTAAGAATGGGAATTACACACCTGATAAGCGCCAAAAGAAAGGTCTGAAGAAATGTAGGCAGGTCAGTTCAGTTAAAAATGGAACGTTAAGTAACGATCGTAAGTCTGACAGAGTAACGACCATTCAGCCTAATGAGAAGCCGAACCATAAGCTGAACATTGCCCCTCCTACTCAGGCGAAAAACGTTCCGGAAAAAAGCAGATCTTGCTCCCACCACCTGTAACTCAGGGCGAAAGCCGCCTGCATTTCACCACCAGCCTCTGCCAATCGCCAAGGAAACTCCCACAGCTGGCACCTCAGGTCTTCCGAGTCAGTCGCAAAGGCTCATCGGAAATCTGAGTCTGTATTCACAGGTCGGAATAAGCTCCAAAAGGCAGACCATAACCTCAATCTTAGATCATTCATACTCTCCAGGAAAGTGGCTGCTCCCTACTGACTGATCGTGAGGAACATGACCTTGACCAATGGAAGAGTGTTGCAAACTGCCGGGAACCTCTCCCTTCAGTCCATCTCTTCAACGCCTAGCGCGTAGTAAGTTCTCCCCCAAAGGCTCTCCTAGACCTTTAAGAGTCTCCCTTGATAGTACACGTCGGTCCGAACACATCCTTCTGAAAGGTCATCAGTTGGTGAAACGCAAACTGTCTGACGTCAGGATTAGGCCTGATAGACTCTGGCCAGTGAGAGAACTTCTTCGCAGCAGCAAGAAGATTTACTCTCAAGAGTTATGCTGCTCGGTAATTATACACGGATTCCCGAATGTTCGGGTACCGACACTGCCGAACTTATCCACGACATAAATCAGTGGAGATATATTGTCAGCAAACTCGAAATCGATGTGAGGGCCGAAAGAATTAATCGTCTTCCAAGGCCGGCTCACCTCTCGACTATACGTACTCCCAGGCTACTCCAAGTAACCCTTGACTCTCCGGACATGGTTAGAACTACCTTGGCATCCTGTTATAATGTATCTGATAGTTCCCTAGAGAAATAAAGATAAGCAAGTGCAGACTCAGGGAACAAAGGCAGACTGGGAGGCGATTCAAGCGCTTACCGTTGGCCAACGCATACCCAACGATAGAACGGCTGGACGATGAGCAAGAGTATTTATCGATCTTGTCCCAGATCGAAGAGGGGTCAGTGGATACAGTAGCCCTTGGTTCCACCGCCCTATCAAAAAACTTGCCAAAGCCGGCCATTTAAAGGCTGGCAACTCATGCTTAACTCAACCGGTTGCTTGGACCTCCGGCCCTCATACTCTCATTCGCTGTACCTTCAGCAATGTACGAGGCCTACGCTCCAAGGTACCTGGATTAAGGTTATTGGTGGATGAGGAAAGTCCTAGCATAACGGCTTTCTGTGAAACATGGCTATCAGAGAACATAAAAGACGAGGAGGTTCGTCTAGGACAGCTCAGCCTAATCCAGGAGGATAGGCCGGAGGGTCCAGGAGGTGGCACTGCTCTTTACACCTGCCCTTCCTCAAAAGTCCATGAGATTCAATCTCATAGGATTGGCATTAAAGATGTCCTCTGGTGCAGCATTAGGTGCTGCGGAGGTCCGCGTTTAGTTGGAGTTTTATGCCACCCTCCTGCAGCTGATGCCACGCTAAATAAAATGTTAATACAGTCCATTAGAGGAGCCCTGGAACTGAACTCCCCACAGGTCCTCATTATGGGAGGTTTTAACTTTCCTCAACTCTTTACCACAGAAAGTCCATCTACTACTGAAAAAGACTTTCGGGAATTGTTACTGGAAAACTCCTTGACAGAACATGTTTCCCAGTGTACTCGCTGGGGGCCTGACTGTAAGGCATCCCGACTAGATTATATTTTCACAAATCAGTTCATTGGGGTAAGCAAATTGAATGTTTTCAGCCCTCTTGGCCTGAGTGACCATGCAGTTGTCTCCTTCAGTATTTCTGTATCTGAGCCACCCGTTCCCGATCAGCCTGTAGTTAGGAATTACAAGAGGACTGGTTTCGAGAAGGTTCGGCAAGATCTAGAAGGTTCCGCTTGCTTAAACTGCGATGACCAACTGGATCCTGATGCTAGATGGGGTCTGTTGAAGAATATAATCTTACAGTCGATGGAAGACAACACCCTCTGATCCCAAGAACTAACAAGTTCTACTCCTCCTGGCTTAAGTCTAGCACGAGCGAACTAATACAGCGTAAACGGTCGTCTTGGAATCTATGGAGGTGCACTAATAGCCTTTTTGACTGGCTAAATTATGAAGATATCCGTAACAAATGTTCAGTAAGGATCAGGAATTACAGAATAAACCACCAGACACAACTTTGTAGAACCCTGGAGGGGAATCATGGGATACTGTACTCGTTGATGAAACAGAAGAGTAACAGTTCACTAAGTTTACAGGACCCCATCAGTTCGGAGATTCTCTCTTCCAACTCAGAAGCTGCAAACCTACTAGCTCATGAGTTCCAAAACAACTGTCATTTTGGAGACAAAACCCCGCCTCTGTCGGACACCCGTATCACAGAGGGACTAAATCATATAGAGTTTAAACCCTCTGTAATTATGGGGATGTTAAAGAAACTGAACCCGAATAAGTCTCCAGGAATCGGTGGTATTCACCCATGAGCACTCAAGGAGTGTGCTGAAGTTCTGTGTGCCCTACTAGCAAGCCTCTTCAAATGCTCGTTTCTGGAAGGCAGGTTACCCTCTGATTGGAAACGGGTGGCTGTCGTTCCAATTTACAAAAATGGAAACAAATTACTCGCCTCCAACTACAGACCAGTCTCCCTGATCTCTTCAGTTACGAAGGTCTTGGAGAGGGTCATAAGTGACTCACTACGTGATCACTTACTTCAGAAATCAATCCTAAACGACTGTCAGCATGGCTTTTCTACCAGGAAGGTCAAGTAACACCATTTTGTTGATAGCTCAGAATAGCTGGACACTCTCTGTCGAGAAGAAAGAGCCTATATACGTTGGTTTACTTGACTTTTCTAAGGCCTTTGACAGGGTAAATCATAATATCCTGTGTAAGAAACTCCAGCTCATGGGTGTACACGGAAAATTATTAATCCGGCTTAGAGATTATCTGTACACCAGGATGCAGTCAGTTAGAGTTGGCTCTTCTCTATCTGATTGGTTCCCGATGCTGAGTGGTGTGCCTCAAGGTTCCATACTGGGCCCACTACCGTTTCTTGCTTTTATCCATGACCTACCAGGGGTCCCTAATTCACATTCACTATTATATGCCGATGATCTGAAGATCTGGGGGAAATACAGGAACCAGCGGGTATTTCGATCTTCCAGGAGGACCTTACGAAAATCCTCGATTGGGCTACGGAAAACCTGCTTCCTCTCAGCTCGAAGGAGTGTCGAATTATGATAGTTGACAAACATAAAGGCAGTCCCAGTTCTTACTCTGTAGGTGAAACAAATATCTGTCACTCTAACATGGAACAAGATCTGGGAGTTACACTAAATGATACACTAGGAGCCTCTGTTCACTGTCGCCTTGCAGCCGATAGGGCTTATGGAATCTTGGGGTTTCTGTCGCGAACCTTAAGGTGTCTAACTCTTCTTTTCACCACGGTGTGTGCCCTGTACATTCGTCCTCATTTAGAAAAAATTCGCTTGTAGTGTCCCCATACTTGAAAAAGGGCATATCCATCCTAGAAGGGGTACAGAGAAGAGCTACAAAGGAAGTGATTGGGTTACGGCACAAACCGTACCCAGACCGTTTAGTTGCTCTTCAGCTGCACCTAGTACAACACCGGAGGATCAGAGGGGATATGATCATGATGTACCACATCGCCCATAATCCCATCCATCCCAACAGATCCCTTCTAAGCTTTAGTCGGAAAAGTGACTTGAGGGGTCACCCGTTAAGAATAGAGCATGAGTGAGCACGTACAAAGATCCGTGCTGACCCATTTGCGGTTAGAGTCCGTAAACTGTGGAATTCCCTCCGTTCAGCAGTTGTTACAGCCCCATCCCCTGATACCTTTAAAAGGAGGCTAGACGCACACCTCGAGTCCTACGGTACCGATGGGCTATACTCGAGAAGCTTTCCTCAGATCAGATGCAGTAATACT